GAGCCCTTGACTGCCCGCGATCGGGCGGCCGTCTGTTTCCGGGTTGCGAAGGTGATGCGTAGGGCCTCGCTTCCGCCATTAGATCGCGAGCAGGCTTGGCAACTACCTGAAAGATGCGGCTCTCTTCTGGTTGGGGAGGTGATCCCCTTAGAAGGTCGCCGGTTTTCGAGGCCCTGACTGCCCGCGATGAGTCGAGGGCAGACGCGCGTCGCCGAGTTGCCTAGCAGCCGGACCGCGGTGAGCCGATAAGTCGGCAGGTCGATAAGAGACGGGGGGCGCGAAGCTGCCTAGCAGCCTGCCCGCGATAACTCGACAACAGTCGCGCGGCAATAAGTGGACAACAGACGCGCGGCGGAAAGTTACCGAGCAGCCTGTCCGCGATAAGTCGATAAGCCGAAAACGGCTGGCCCCTTGTAAGTCTGCAGCTCTCAGGGTTTAAAAAGGCCGCGGACTTTTAAGCCCGAAAAGTTTCAGATTTCTGAGAGCCTGGCAGCCTGTCCGCGATAAGTCGAGAAGGCGGAAGCGCCTGGCCCTTTGTAAGTCTGAAGCTCTCAGGGGTTAGAAGCGTCATGGGCTCTTAAGCCCTAAAAGCTTCAGACTTGTGAGAGCCTCGCAGCCTGTCCGCGATAAGTCGATAAGCCGAAAACAGCTGGCCCTTTGTAAGTCTGAAACTCTGAGGGCTTAAAAAAGTCCTGGACTTTTAAACCCTAAAAGCTTTGCGCTTGCGTCGATAAGTCCAAAGCAGCTGGCTCTTTGTTAGTTCGGAAATTTTCAGTGTTTTAAAAAAAGTCTTGGATTTTTAAGACCTAAAAGCTTCAGACTTGTGAGAGCCTAGCAGCCTGCTCGGGATAGCAAGTCGATCAGCCGGAAACGGCGGGCCCTTTGTAAGTCTGAAACTCTCAGGGTTTAGAAAAGTCGTAGACTTTTAAGCCCTAAAAGTTTCAGATTTGTGAAAAGGGCCGCCGTCTTTGGGGCCATCAGCTCCCTTTCTCTTCTGTAGGTCTGACACCACCGGCCGCCAACTGCTTGCAAAACTCTGGCTCTCTCGCTACAGGGATCTGATAGAAGCGAGAGAGTCGCAATTTCGGTGGAAAGTAATGGAGGAATCCAGTCCCCATTTTTCTCCATTAGTATAGAGGGCGATCCAAGCCAAACCCCTTGGGGCCATCCGTTCCCTTTCTTCTTCCCCTTGGGGCCTCATGCTATCAGTCGCCAACCGCTTTCAAAGTCCCGGCTTTCTCGCTGCAGGTGTCTGATAGAAGCGAGAAAGTCGCCACTTCGGTGGAAACTAATGGGGGAGACGGGCTGTCGCTTTCCTCCATGAGTTTCGCGCAGGACGCTATAGGGGGCGATCTAAGCCAAACACTCTAAGGCCACCGGAACCGGGAACCAGCCCGAAGGCCCTAAGCCTTCGGAGCACACGAAGAGAGAACCGACAAAGAAAAGCCCTAAACGCTGGGGCCTGGTGGGCAGACGCCCTACCGAAAAGCCGCAAACCCGAAGCCGCACGAACAGAAAACCTACCCAAAAGCCATCGACCCAAAGCCAAACGGACAGAAAACCCACCCAAAAACCGCAAGCCCCAAGCCGCGCGAACAGAAACCCCACCCAAGAGCCAAAAACCCCAAGCCGCGCGGGCAGGAAACCTACCCAAAACGCGCAGTCCAAAAAGCTCAGACATGGTGAGCGCTGACCATTCAGCAATCTGGCTGAGCTCCTCAAGCGCCCAACATCTGGCAGGCAATTCCCTCGGGCTTTTTGTTTAGGGTGGGACCGATGCCCCAGGGGCCTCCGAGCGAAGGGCCTCATGCTCCAAGCCGGGCCGCCGGTCCGCGCTCGGTCGATAATTTACTCGGACCGCCGTCCGCCTGCCTTCGCCTCCCCCGAGAGCCCGGGCCCCCGAAGACTTTGCCGGCAGGACTCTCAAAACGGCGGGGCTTTGGAGCAAAGGGCCACGAGTCCGCACCTTGCCTCGGGCTCGTCTTCGGGCCTCATGCTCCAAGCCTGGCAGCCGGTCCGCGACGGGTCGAGAACTTACGCGAGCCGCCGCCCGCCTGCCTTCTTCCCGAGAAGCCCGGACTTTTGAAGGCTTTGGCGGTAGAATTACTCCCGGGGGCGCGGGGCTTTGGAGCACCGGGCGACGAGCACGAGCCCGCACCCCCGGGCTGGGCTTCGGGCCTCCTCCTCCAAGCCTCGCCGCCGGTCCGCGATGGGTCGAGAAGTTACACGGACCGCCGTCCGCCTGTCTTCTCCCGAGCAAGCCAGGGCCCTGAAGACTTTGCCGGCAGAACTTTCAGAAGAGCGGGGTCCCACAGTAAATGGCCCCGGCTCTTTACACCTTTGGCGGCAGCGCTGCAACGGCCAAAGGGGCCGCGACTTTCTGCAACTTCTCCAGAAAAAGTCGCCAAAGGGCCCGGGCCTTCGCCATACCGTCCGGGGCTCCACTCCTCCCAAGCGAATAGGCCTGGCTTTTTGGCCGGTGGGCCGCTATAGATGGAAGCGTGTTCCCTACCTGCCAGCCCTGTCCCCCCAAAGGCCCGGACTTTGTCGGAAGGACTCCCAGAATAGCGGGAAGGGCAGCGGCCTGGTAGCAAATGCCCCCAAGTCCGCACCTGTGGGCTTGGCTTCGGACCTCATGCTCCAAATCTAGCAGCCGGTCCGCGATGGTTCGATGGCTTGCGCGACTGCGCGGGCCGCCACTGCCTGCCTTCTCCCCAAAAAGGCCGGACTCTTGCGGACGTTGCAGAAAGACGAAGAACCCGCAAAAAAGCAGGGAAAAGAACGGCCTTGGACCAAAAGGCTACGGGCCCGCGCCCATGGGCTTGGCTTCGCGCATGGTGCTCCAAGTCTGGCAGCCGGTCCGGCTTGCGCGACGGCGCGGGCCGCCGTTACCTGCCTTCCCCCCAAAAAGGCCCGGACCTTTGCGGAATCTAGGAAGAACGCCCAGAAAAGCGGGTAGAAAACCACCTCAGACCAAAGGGCCACGGGTCCGCACCTGTTGGCCTCACTTCGGGCCTGCACGCCGAGTTTGGCAGCCGGTCCGCGATAGGTCGATGACTTGCGTGCCTGCGCGGGCCGCCGCTGCCTGCCATCTCCGCAAAAAAGCTCCGGCGCTGATGACTTTACGGGAAGAACTCCCAGAAAAGCGGGAAAAAGGACGGCCCTGGACCAAAGGGCCGTGGGCCCGCACCCATCGGCTTGGCTTCGGGCTTAGTGCTCCAAGCCTAACAGCCGGCCAGCGATAGGTCGACGACTTGCGCGGAGCGCCGTTGCCGGCCTTCTCCCCAAAAAGCCCGGACACTTTCGGACCCTTTGGGAAGAACTCCCAGAAAAGCGGGAAGGCAACGACCTCGGAACAAAGGGCCACGGCCCCGCGCCCGTCGGCTTAGCTTCGTTCGGGCCGGATGCCCCAAGTATGGCAGCCGGCCCGCGATAAGTCGATGACCAGCAGACCGCCGGCGCCGGGTCGCTCGAAAAAGCCCGACTTTTGGCGAGTCTGTAGCCCAAACCCTTGGAAAACCGGGAGGGGAGCCCGTCTTGCCCTCACTGCAGAGCGCCCTCGTCGCTAGCTATCGACTTATCGCGGGCGGGGCTGGCCGCCTGGCTTGGAGCACCAGGGCGAAAACCGGGCCCGCGTGGGCGGGCTCGTGGTCCTTTGCTCCACAGCCGGCTATTTCCCGACTTTCGAAGAGATATAGCCCCGAACCTGCCAAAGCCCGGGCCAATTCGGGCGCGCCTCTCCCGCCGTCACGGCGCGGCAAGAGCCTCGCCACGGGTGGCGGGGGAATCTAGTGGGGCTGTCGTGCTGCCGGCGGACCTCCTGGAGGAAAATGCCCGCTGGCTTCGTGATTGCAACCACAGGGGAGGGGGATCCCGTGCCGCCTTTAGGCCACCTCGGTTTCGTGGGTGTCGACTGCCGGTTTGCCGGTGTCGACCTCTTCCCCGCTATGGCCCTGGGCCGGGTCCGTCTTGGCTTATGAAAAGGCGCCGGCCATCATCATTACATGCAGAAAAACAAAAAGGCCCCCGTGCCGCCTATCGAACTTCGGGTCTCTGCGAATCTTGACCGGTCGGCCCACTGCCTTCCGCGCGGCAGCTCGGAAAGAAAATCGAGGATACGAAGAACCTCACAGGCCCACCAAGCTCCGCGTCTGGATCCACAGGCCAAGAACCGGGCCAACGCGTGCCGGGTTTTGGCCGTATGCTCCGACCCGCAAGCTGCCGCCGCCGCCTAGGGGATGACCAAAGTAGCCCAAATACCCCAACCTTGGCGTGGAAGGATTTGACCTTCCCCGGGAAGCATACCAGGCCAATTGGACCATCTTGCACTCAAAGCGGAGAAAAAAAAACAGGCAAAGCCTGTGCTGATTCCATTGATCGAAGTTGGCCTCTGCTCGGGACAGGGTAAGTGCTGCTGACCGACTGGCCTCTCTCGGCCTGTGATGCCATCCCTATTTGGAGACCCCTGCATTTTTGTCGATAGCCGGTGATGAGACGAGGATTCAATTTTTACAAGGAGCCACCAATCGCCCGCCCCGTCTTTCACGGCAACAGCAAAGGTTTCTCATTTATACGATTTAGCTCTCCAGTAGTCTCTGAAAATTGTTAAGCACGCCTCTTTTCATCGTCAAGCAATGAAGCGGCCCCAATCCACTCTCAGATTGCCCTTTTAACAATCTTCAGTGCAGCTTCACTCTCAGACTACTCGTTAGTTGTTTTCTGTAGCCTAGGAGCCATACCTCACGTGGGCTCTTCTGCCTAGGCACTTTTTTCGCGATTTTTTTTTCGGAATCAATGGAAATGAGGGCTAGCCTTCGCGATTCCCCTCGCCAGCTGCTTTCGGGCGTGTCCGCGGTCAGCAGCGGACTCGCGCTAGCAGCTCTCTACCATCGCAATTCCAGACGGAGTGCCGAGACAGCACAGGGAGGCTCCCTCTCATCGATATCCTTCCCCTCAGGACGAGATAGCGCCGAAGTCGAGATGGTCCGAAGTCGAGATGGCCCTTTGCGTGACAGTAGGGTGCGCTACGAGTGGTGCGACGCACTGGACGGGGAGCTGCTTGGGGGTAGCCACTCCGTAAATGCGCTTCTCTTACGGGGGTACCAAGAAGCCATCGGCCACATGACACCATCTTTCAGCATTTGAGACTCACCACCAGCACACCATTTGAACCGCACCGTAACTCCGCGGGTAGTTGCACAGTAACTTTCTTCCTGGAAATTAGAGCTGAATATACTTTCTAAAAGATGGCTTTTCTGTGCCTCTAATGTCCCAGCAACAGCAGAACCTTTTTCAGCTTCCCGGGGCCCGCGTCGCACTGCCGGGGATGGCTGTACGCAGTGTCAGCAAGCGGGTCGATCTGGGCCTGAATCCTTGCGCGGCGGAAACTAATCTTCAGCGGACTAATTCTATGGACGAGGAGGTGCAAGACAGCAGGTGCAAAGATTCTACGGGGATACAAGAACGTCGTCAGAGCTTAAGGAGCAATACGGAAGACATGCTACGTCGTCGCGGTCGACCAGAGATGGGCGCAACAATTCTTGTGAAGCGTGCCGTAGACGTGCCCTTGCAGTTTGGCCGGGTTCCGCTAGTCGTCACGATTTTTATTGACGACGAGCAGCCGGACAAGCCACTGTTGTGCGGCCGAGCTTTGGCTCGACGACTACGAGTTTTACAAGGCAAAGACGTCGTGGAGATAAATTCGATTAAGGCTGTTGCTAATTTATCTCTGCTGGTTGCATCTCTGAGAGGCCTGCCATTTCTTGAACAGAGGAACAATGCAGGTCTAAGATGATGATGAGTGCTTATACTGGAACTGGACAGCCCTAAGTCTACGGCACACGGGCCGCCGGTTGGTTGTGTAGGTGATTCTGGTACTCCTCTCGAAAGTGCTGAAGCTGATGGTCGTGCTTTTGGAGAACGCGGTACCGACGATCTTTTATGTTCAGATATGAATCGAGGTCCTCGAGATCAAGCGACTCAAGGTCCAGATCCGTCCATGCTCCTCGCCACGCGGGCCCGAAAGCATCGAGACCAGCGGATACCCCACACTGTGGCTGCAGATTGCTGGCACCGTGTCTTGACGTGGCTGTTCACTACATGGCAGTACTCAGAGTCCTTCCGTGAATTGTGGCAACCGCGGACTCCGTTCGCTACTTTCTTTTAAGAGGCCCATCCTCATGATGATGCTGTGTTTCCATACATCTTAGCGTTAATTGTTTGCTAGTCAGCGAGCCTTCCTGATATATAATCTTACGCTCTTTAATATCTTTTTATCCGTTTCCTTCTCAGAATGCCGATTCTGACAAGATGGGGCAGTTAGAAAATGAATCGGTCTGAGTCTACTTTAATTCGTGGACGCTGCCTTTCAAGAGGAGTTCGGATTAGAAAGCGCACTTTTCGACGATCGCGTGGCTCAGGAGAGCGTCCCACGACTTGCATGGTCCTCTTTGGAAAGCAAAATGGATCGGCACAACGTCAACGATCAGAATCGGGGGAACGAGCCGTATGTTGATGACAATTTTCCTTGAGAAGGTCCCTGTGAAGACGCCAATTCTTCTTGTGGAGAATCGTAGTCTTCAAGCGAGTCGCAGTTTGTTTACTAGCGAGCCATCTTTGGCTGTTCCGCGACCTTTTTGAAGACCTTTTAGCGAACTATTCCCTGCAAGCACGTGTTCATAAATTTAAAAAATCTGCGGCACCAGTGAAGACTGTCGTTTTGGACCGCATGTCATGAAAGAGCAGGAAAGTGGTTAAAGATTTGTCTTATTCGAAGATTATCGAACGTGGGTTTGCAAATGTTTTTTATGACAGACTTATCTCAACAAACAATGTAATTAGGCTATCTCTTCGTTAGTAAATGTATCTTTCAAAGACGGAATTATCTTGGCACCTCTCTAAACTTAAACATGCGCCGCGGATGATCAAGCGAGGGCGGCGCGCCGCGTACTATTGGAGAGCTTGCTGCGCATTTGGCGCGCAGAGACGGACGGGCCAGAGGAACTCTTTGATATCGCGAGGAGACGACTCAAGCCGTGCGAGCCAAGCCTTCTGCGTTCAATGGTGCTACAAATAATCAATGACACGTGATATCTCAAACATTCGTAAGGCGGCTCAGTACAACATCAGAAGCGGCTCAGTACAACATCAGAAGCGGCTCAGTACAACATCAGAAGCGGCTCAGTACAACATCAGAGGCGACTCAGTACAGTATCGGAGGCGACTCAGTACAACATCGGAGGCGACTCAGTACAGCATCCGCACCACAATTCACAGGGGAATTCACGAGGTAGTCCAGTAAAACATCCGGCGTGGAGGCAACTCTATCATTTGACTAAAACTAAAACTCTTCAACACGATAAGGTGACGGATACTTCGCGGATTCATTGAAGAGCGCTCCTCAGACTTCTAGGCTTGGTGGAGTCGCCACCACGACATATTTGTATACTCTGCGTCTGCTCGTTGGTTGACGTACTAGAAGTGTTTACGTACTACAGCTCTCGGCTATCGCCTGTATCAGCAGTGGGAGACGTTTACCTACTGGTCATCGCCTGTGCGTGTACTACAAGAAGTGGCCCTCCAATTTGATCTGTAAGAATGCTGCATCATAATTCGATATCCGTCAACGCTGCTCCATGAAACTAGTTCCCTGGACCAAATGCTCAGATCCGCGTACTAGGCACTACATAGTAAATCTTGACGGAAGCCGTGTAATGACTTGATTATGGGGCAGACATTGTAGCAAGTAAGCGGTCTTGATTTTGCAAGCTAACGCAGAAGAACGACCCAGATTGATCAACTTCGAAGTACTTCGTGGTAGAATCCATGCGGTTCTCTCAATCTATCTTACTTTTACTATGTCTACGAATTTCACGATTCTCATGTCCACTAACAAAGCGGCTCTGTTAGGCCAAAGGCTAATATAAATTTTGATCTCTCGTAACTAACAATGAGACACCAGTGGTTAATTGTGACTAATGCTTCCAACCAGCGCCACGCATGATGAGTAATTCGTTTTCGGATCTTCGCACGATGCCGAGTGTAGAAGTTGATAACAGGAGATTAGATGATGCTCGCGATCGGTTTTGCGCTGTTCGCGTGATCGATGGCGGGCTGGCCACGCAGCTTGAGACAGCCTATGCCTGCGACCTGGGAGGCGATAACGGGGCGCTTTGGTCGACGAGTGTTTTGGAAAAAAACCCCGAGCTTGTGGAAGGGGCGCATAGAGACTTTGTGCGCGCTGGATGCAACATGCTGATCACCTGTACCTACCAGACCAGTCTCCGCGGATTCAACGGCGACAGATCGGGCTTCGAGGCAAGTCTGCGGCGTGCGGTGGATGTCGCAGTGCGCGCAGCCCTTGCCCATGAGCAGAAGTCCGCTCTCTCGGCTGGAGACCGCAGCGGTGAGGCAGATGCATCGAAACAAGTAGGGACGCCGGACAGCCTGCGCACAGGAGCATGCGTGGCGGGTTCTCTTGGCCCCTATGGGGCGTGTTTGGCGGGTGGGCAAGAATACACCGGAGAATACGCACTTACGAACGAAGTGACAGGCGTTCCCCTGAGTTTTGCACAAGAGGTGACTTTCTTGAAGAACTGGCATAGAGATCGTGCGAAGGTACTAGCGGAACATCACTCGGCGCTAAATTCGCTTCCCGGTACTAATATTAAGGGTGGTCATGTGTGAATAGTACATCTTCATCTAAGTCATCTGGAAGGTGGCCTCATCTGTTCAAAGGATTTTTTTGAAAAGAACTAGGAAGCAAGCAGAAAAAGACACCCGGATGAGTCTTGAGATGCATTTGCTGTTATGTGCCTTTAATTATGATATCACCGAGCAGGAGCAGGAGGAGGATCTTGGGCTTGGCTGCCCTTCTCGCGGTCGCATCGACGTGTTTGCCGGCGAAACATGCCCGAAGATTGCAGAGGCCGTTGCACTTGCCGAGATTTTTGAGGAGACGAAAATGTTAGGGTACATTAGTTTTCAGTGTCGCGACGGCGAACGGCTTGCGTCCGGAGAAAAAATGGAGGATGCTGTAGCCGCGCTTGCCCCTTTCTTCTGCAAAGAAAGCGCCTTTTTAGTCGCGCTGGGCGTGAATTGTACGGCGGTTGGAGTTGTGGAAGGGCTGGTCGGACGCTTAAAGCAGGCTATTGAGAACGAAATGTCTGCCGAACCTGACCAAGAGATGTCACAAGCAAAAAATTATACAAAACGAAGAAGTCCTACGATTTCTAGTCCACGACCTTCAAAACACAAGAGTGCACAGGAGAAAGTTTCTTGCATGAAAGAAATGCAGCGACCAAGGATCATCGTGTATCCGAATTCCGGAGAAGAATATGATCCTGAAACGAAGACATGGCATCCGGCCTCTGAAGCGAAAGCCGGAGGCCTTGTGCTCACGTATGGGGAATACGCACGAAAATGGTTACACGCGGGTGCACATGCCATCGGCGGCTGCTGTCGCGTAATGCCCCACCACATCGAGGAGGTTTGCACAGTCGTTGGTACGTGACGCTTGGCTACTTTATCCACCTGCTAACTGCGCTTACATGTGAATGTCCTCGTAGTAAGCAGTTGTAACTCGCCATCTTCACAATGTCGTGTCGTCGTCATGTCCACCAAGCTGAAAATGCTTGCTGAACCCACTGCGATGTTCCAGCACACAAGAGCTAACAACCGCAAGTTTGTCGTTTCGTTCAAAATCCTTGCAGTAAATTCGCTTTTAAAAGAGGTCCTTCTGCCCTTGCGCGCTGCATTCTCGGTAATTTCTCGATGCTCTGAACCTCTGGTCGCGCACGCAAACAGTTTTCGGTACAAAGGAAAACATTCAGCGTCGAAGACAGAAAACAACACTTTTTTAGCAAGAAGAGAGAAACTGGGAGAGAGAAAAAAAATCCTTGCAAGAGAGATTAATTTTTTGTCAATTATCGTGAAAACTACGCAAACACAAATTGAAAAGGGCTTGCTGAATATCAAGGCTGGACTAATAAAGCGAGCTTGAGTTGTTGGGCTTCGAATTCGATAAGAGGAGCTTCGGAGGTAGTTTATTCACCCCAGCTCGCCGATCGGGACTTTGAAAATACTTTCGGTCGTGAAAATTGTATCGAGTATTTCATCACCTAGTAGAAAACGAAAGTCTACCTGCGCTTCGTTTTAGTGGAAATCAAAGACTTGATATTTCTAAAACAAAATATCGAGAACAAAGCTACACACGGATGATGTGACGCGACAAAAATAGCAAGACCCACTGTTTCACACAACAATCATAACGTACAGTAAGTTCTTTTTTTACATCATGTAGTGCTAAAATCCAACATGGACAGCAGGCGGCTCAACGGCGACAGTTCGGAGGTCGCCGTCATGCAGGCGCTGCGATTGCAGAGAGACCGCTCTTGTTGAGACACGGGCTCGACAACATCCGGCAGAGGCAGTGAACCAAAATAGCAGGGAGGTACACTGCTTCTGGGATCGCGGTCGAAAAGAGCAGAAGCAAGCAATTGATTAGGATCAGGAATTTTGATTTCTCAGGAGTTAACATACTAGTGGAAGAACCCGGAGAAAGTCCTCGTCAAGAAAGAAAGCACTACCAAATTCGTAATATTGGAACAACAAAATGGCGGCGCCTCAGCATCCCATCATGCTCGATCCGCGGGCGCAATGGATCCAGAGCAAGACGGCGGAGCTGCTGCCTGCGTTCAGCCAAGATTTGTGGAAGGACCTGATGAACCGGGAAGCCGACAAGCATGCCAACGCGCTGAAGGACTTCCTGGACGAAGCGGAAGCGGGCAGCACAGCCTTCTTTTATGTGATCGATCCGTTAGCGAAGGAGGGGGAGAAGGCCGAGGGCGGTGGCGGCGGAGACGTCAGCGGCACGGCAAGCAAGAGCTCGGCGGGCTTGGGCGGGGATGCCGAAGGAGGCGCGGAGAACGCGGGTTCGGAAGGCGCAAGCCCCCGCAAGGGTAGCTTGGGAAAATTGAGAGGCCAAGTGCACCGAATAGGCTTTTCGAGACGGCTGAGTGCGAAGGTGGACCCGACCAAGCGCAAAGCGGGGTGGCTCAGCATCAACTCGCTCCCGAACGGCGCGGAGGTCGAGAGCGACGTAGTTTTGTACTTCCAAAAAATCAAGCCCGGGCGCGTCGACGTCACAGGCGTTCTATTGGCGGAGGGCATGCGACGCAGCATCTTGTCCGGAGCCACCAGCGCCCACTTTTTGATGGACTTGAAACTCATGTTCGACAACCTGTACCTGCCGCTCTTTTACAAGACCACGAGCAAGTTAAGGCCAGATTTTTATTATCCTCTATCTTTGTAGTTATTTTCTGGTTTTTTTTTGTTTTCTTTAGTCAGGGTAGTGTCTAGTTACAGATCAACTCGAGTTCTTGTCTTATCTTAAGTGTCAGGGAAGCTATGTCGAGTGGAATTGTACGACCCGACACGTACAATATCACAGAATCACAGAATCAAATACTGTACAACATCTTCTAAGCAAGGCGAAGACTTTAGCCTTGGACTCGCGCTCGGGGGACGAAGACGAGGCGCCCCCAGGAGAGGACGCAGACCGCGCACCAGGAGCTTCCAGTGATGAAGGGGGAAAAGTTCATTTGGAAGCGCCAAAAATTGACGACAAGCTCCCGAAGGCGATCGAATTCCTGCCGACGCATATCTACGAAGAGATACAATCTCTCACCAACAAATTCTCCACACAAGTTTCGCAGGCAGCATCGCAGGTTCTACAGATTCTTATCGTGATTTCAAATTGTTATGTTACTCCACAACCAAGCAAACCACCGACACTGAGACTAGAGTAAATGCTGCTCCCGAACCTGGATTTGTATTTTTTGCTCTTCGATTGCAATGCTTACTAATCTTCATGATGAATGTACGACAACGACCATATTCAAATTCAATAGGTGTATGGCAGTGTGAATATTCGTGTGCCTGAGGTAGCGAGTCAGTACAATGAGGAGACTGTGGAGAGCATGACAAAGGAGCACTTGGCTGAACTCGAAGGCGCCGTGGAGGAGTGGACTAAGATTATGGAAGGCACGGTGAGACGCGAGACGAACCGAGGACGGGCCAATAAGTATCCCTTAGCGGAGATAGAGCTGTGGCGAGAGCGCAGCAGCAATATTTCCACCCTGTACGAGCAACTCTCGCTGCCCAATGTGCAGGCACTGCTGAATCTACTTCACAAGCATCCACAGCAGAGCACAGGACTGCTGGTGCAGACGTTTGAGGACAGCTTCGGAGAACTGGCGAAAATGCATGCAGAAGCAAAAGACAACGTGAAATTTTTGACCACACTGGAAAGACACTTCAAGAATCTGCAGACCAACCCGGTCCACCAAGTTGTGGAAGTGCTTCCAAGCCTGCTTAACAGCATACGCATGGTTTGGATCATCTCAAGGTACTCAAAGCATACTTCTTTGTTTTCTCTTTCCGATGAAACAGGGACTAGTACGCATTTTCCGGATATCTCCACGACCAAGTACTACTGGTAAAGATAGCATCGGGTAGATAATGTTTTTTCTAATTGGGTAAGCATCGTAATGCTAGGAATTTTTCTTCTTAGAGGTCGAAACCGTCGAGATGAGTAAATATTTCTAACCTGATACTGGTAATCGTGACGATGGCTATATATAATGTTTCGTAGGTACTTCAACATCGATGAGTACATGGAGCCGCTGATGAAACGAGTAGCGGATCAGATAGCGGATAAGGTTGAAGAGAGCATTCAGATACCCCAGATCTTTCAGATGGACAGCTCCAAGGCTATGAAGCTGATCGCGGATTGTCGGGAAGCCTTAGACAAGTGGGAGTTGATCTACCTGCAGACACGAGAGAAGATTGAGGAGAGCGGGACCGATCACCGCTGGGAGTTCGACCGACTGAAACTATTCAAAAAAACCAAGTTCATGTCCAAGATATGCGGTGATCTCTACGAGGTGACGCAGGTACTGGTGCAATTTGAGAAATTCTTGGGCCCAGAGTTGAAGGAAGTTACCGGCGACAGCGCGGACATAGACGAACTCTTGAAATTATGGCATGAGAGATGTACAGCATGAAATGTTCCACCCGTTTCAACTATGAACTCCTGACTGTTGCAGAAACGAAAAGATCGAATTCGTAAATCTACCATGCATGTTCTTGTAATCCATCATTGATCTTATTGCGGTACTATCGTGTCCCTTTTCTTTTCTAATAGCTGAAGTTGCGAGCCTGACTTCTGCGGAGCTGCAGAAAGTGAGTTCTAGGAAGGCCTTTGAGGAGCGCAACTACACCACAGTGTGGGAACCGATGATGCAGAAGTTTCGGGAGAAAGTAGCGGTGATCGAGAAACGGGCTATCGTATTTTTGGACACTAGTTTCCAGAACTTGCGATCCGCCGAAGGCGCCTTCCAGCTCCTGCAGAACTTCAAGAACATCGAAAGTCGAGAAACCATCAACGCAAAAATGAGCGAAAAGTTTGCGGACATCTTGAAGCAGTACGGAAGTGAGGTAAGCAGGACCCGGATTCAGAAGAGTTTAGAATGAAACAAAGTATATACTGATTATAGTAAGAGGTCTACGCTCGTATTGTTATTAGCACGACCATGAATTAATTACTTGCCTGGATTGAAACTATTCTTCTAGATTTCCATAATTTGCTTTTGCTGATGTGTTTTTTTGAACTTTTTCAATAGGTCCACCGCATGCGCGATTTGTTCCGTAAGGAAAGCGTGCAGTACAAAGGCCCGAAGGACATTACCCCAGTCGCGGGTCGTATTGCTTGGGCGCGCAGCATCTTTGCTCGCATAAAGAGGCCTGTCTTGTCGTTCAAGACGATGCCCCAACTGCTCCAGACCGCAGAGGGTCAGATAGCTTGCCGGGACTACGTCGACTTGGGGAAAGAAATACTGGAATTCGAACAAGAACTGTATTCGGAGTGGCAATCTACCGCAGTGGAATTAGTGCAGAACTCGTTGACGTGCAACATTTTGACCAAACGGGAGCGCGGTTTTGTCGTTAACTTTTCCGTCGATTTGGACCTGCTCATACGCGAAGCCAAAGCCCTAGATCAGCTAGGCGGTTTCGAATTGCCACAACTAGTGCTCAACGTGGGGCTGCAAGAGGAAAAATACAAGCAGTTCGTCGAGCAGTTGCAATTTTATGCAAAGGAGACGAAATAATTTGCTCTTACATCGTCCATTCAAATGGATATCCTGGTTTGAAAATTGAGAGGTGGCAGGACTACTTGTGGAAAACTTTTCTTCACGTTTTTCCTTTTGATCACGTAATGATGGAGATTGATGAGGCTTCTAAGATTGACTTGTAGAAGCATACGATGAGGTTGTAGGTGCAATGTCCGATGTGCAGCGAGACCTGCTCAAGGGACAGCTGAAAATGCTAGATGACTGTCTGCGACCGGGTTTAGAAGTGCTCAACTGGAACTCGCTCGGAATTTTATGATCGCTTGGAATTTTGTTTTTACCATTTGCTGACTTTTCGTCTGGACAGGACTGTCATTGCTCCGTTCGTCTAAACTGTTATTGACATCTATTTAATGACACTGTACTGGTACTGTCTAGTTAATGATTCTTCCCTGTAACAATACACGAGGTGCTCGCGTCTGTTTCTAATGCTGATGGCGTTTATTGAGGAGGGGAATCGGGGTGTGTCGACTTTGCGCTCAACAGTGGATCAGGTGGAGAAGAGTCAGGAGCGCATAGAGAACGTGGTGGAAGCTATCGAGAATGCGGTTTTGGTCAGGCCATTCAACTGGGAGGAGCAGAGCGAGGTCATGGACCACAACGATTAAGGCTTAATGTGTAATTCATCTTGAGAAGCATTTCTCTTTACTGATTCCTTTACTTTTGACAAGAAATTAGACGAGTCAAAGAAAGATGAGCTTCAAGAGGAACTTGGGTAATCTCTAAGGAGAATTCTACGAGTACTTTGAACGGTTCCGAGAAGAGCAAATCGCGGAACTGGTGAAAAAATACGAGTCAATATCTCCGTTCTTGATCAAGATCGAGGAAACGACGGCAGGCACGAAAACAGGGTCATCACCAAGTATGGCAGACTACTATTCCTACTGGGAGAAACGAATATTCAATGGGATCACGACCATGCTGATTCGAGCAATGGCCACGTTTCAAACACTCTTTGCCAGCAGTGCCCTGTCAGCGCAGGAGTCACAAGTGATGCAGGAGCAAGCGGGCGTTTTAGCGGTCCCGGGCTCGTTTGCGACCTCGGTGATGCACCACATGCTTCCGCCGGGTGCGACAGACACAAGCTTTTCCGCACCGGTTGGGCCGGTGGAACCAGTGGCAAAGGGCCCTCTTCTCCGGATAAAGTTATGGTTTTTCTACGTCTTTAATTTCAAGATTCTCCTCTATGTCGCTGAAGCAACTACTCGTGATCATTCGCGACAGCAGGAAATGCTGTTGAATTAACTGCATTTACAACTCATCTGTATTTCTGGTAATTGGGACGATGTGACTAGTCTGGTGCACAATTGTTTGTAGTGTCTATAATCAATCCAGTAAAATATCAATATCATGCTCTACTTATAGTAGTTTCTTCTTCCTCTAATTTCTGCGCAATTCAACGCCCCAGATGTGGTCTTGAGTGCGCTGCACCAGGTTTTCAAGACCATCACGAAGCTCTTGCAGAACGTGCTGCAGAGTGCTCACTTTTTCGTGCGATGGATGGAAGGGACTTGCCGCCTCGTGCCGCCGCCGCCCCAGCAGGAGGAGGACCAGAAATTGACCGATTTCACCTTTTACCGGGACATTTACCAGAACCCGGCTCTGATCGAGATGACCATCGCCATCCAAAACAACATTCAGAACGTTTTTCAGGTGATGAGCAAGTTTCTGCGGTCCTGGAAAAAATACGACACCCAGTGGAAGTTGTGGGACACCAAGGGCAAGCAGGAACTCGAAAAGCTGTACGACCGCAAGCCATCCGTGGTGTTTTTCGACGTCTACATCAACGTGTACAAGGGGCTAGCCGAGGGCTTGGCGAGCTATCCGCGAGAAAAGGATATTGGCTTCGTGCGCATCGACTCCACAGCAGTGATTGCCGGCATTCGGTCGCAGACGCTGGAGTGGGTGCAAGCGTACGGCTCAATCCTGCAACGTTTGGCGCAGAGGGAGCTGGAAATCGTCTCGAAAGAAATCACAACTTTCACAGAGCAGCTGAGTTGCGAGACCCCGGACAGCTTGGAAAAACTGAAGTTTGTCCTTGGCGTTATTTCGCAGATCATGTCCATGAACATGGATCAAGAGGCTCGTATCGTACACGAAGTACAAGAGCGCTACCGCACACTCCTCATTCACGGATATCAACCTCTAGACCAGGTGGAGGAGGTCGACGCTGCAAATAATCTACCAGACAGGTGGCAGGTTTTGATTATGACACATACTAGCAAGAAGGCACCAACAAATCTCGAGTTTGAAGTAGAAGGAACATCATTACTACTTCTTATGTTGAGTGTATTACAAACATGATCGAATCAATTAAGTCTTCGGATTCTAATCTGCAAGACTTGGCACTGACTCGTGATCGGCGGCTAGTTGCAGTGAAAGAGACGTTTTCTCAGGTCACGGCAACGCAGGTGACTGAATTCTGCGATGAATTGGTGGAGGTTTACAAGGAGTTCACTGCTTGCGGACCCGCGACGGCGGGACTGCAGACGGGCGCAGACGGCGGCGAGTTGACATTGGAAGAGGGCAGAGAGCTGATGAAGCGGTACGAGAGCGATTTGAAGAGCTACCAGAAGCGGCGGGAAGAGCTGGTGAAAGCGCAAACTCTCTTCAACTTGCCCATTGCGGCATGTCCTGAACTAGCCTCTCTGGACCGCGAAATGAAGGTCTTAAGGCAAATCTACGACGTTTTCTCGGCGCACGCAGCGATGGTGAACGAGTTTTCGAGCGTGCCGTGGACCAAACTGGAGCTCGACGCACTGGCGAAATCGGCGGAGGACTTCGACAAAAAGGTGCGTCGCATGCCCAAAGAACAGCGTGAGATCGGCGATGTGGCAGCTTTTGGTACGCTGGAAAAAACCGTGATCGATTTCAAAAGTTCGGTGCCCCTGATCCAATCTTTGAAGCACCCGGCTATCAAACCGCAGCACTGGAGAGAGCTGCAGGAACTGGCAGGGACAGGCCAAGAAGAAGAAGAGATGGACGAAGCAGCAAAGAAAATTAAGGCTGCCGTTGAAGCATCCTCAGCGCCATCCTTGGCCTCCTTTTCAAGGGGAAATGCGGCTCAAGGATGGGCTCAGGGATGCGACGCGGTAGCTCTAAGAAAAAGGCTGAACTGGATCCAGCGAAGATGACCCTGCTGCAAGTACTTCTTATTTATTTCTTACTAACTTTGTGATGAAACACAGACACATGATTTTGGTACCTGTTATTTCAGTTATTCTTCTCCTGCTGGTTTGTGCTGCGAGAGGGTCCGGTTAAGTTGAAGATCGAGTCCGACAATCTTGTATTCTTTTTGAAGGATGCAACTTTGTAGAACAATTTATTTGTTCGTGTCTTCTAGGTGTTCCGCTTAGGGCTGCACCGGTTCCCTGAGGAGGTGAATGAGATTGTGATTACCGCGCAGAACGAGCTGAAGATCGAGAATGAACTGCAGAAAGTGGACAGTTTCTGGAGGACTTGCATGTTCCAGATGTACCACCACAAGGGTGATACGCAACTGCTCCAGCCGAACGAGGACATGCGGCTGGTGTTGGACGATCACATTCTGACTTTGCAATCCATGGGTGGCAGCAAGTATGCCGCGAAGTTGCTGGATGTGATCAAGCGGTGGGAGAAGAATCTGAATATTGTGTCCGAAGTCTTCGACGTGTGGCTCCAGACGCAGCGGAAGTGGATGTATTTGGAGTCCATTTTCATGGAGAGCGACGACATCCGCTTGCAGCTTCCAGAGGAGGCGAAGAGGTTCGACAAGGTGCACCAGCAGTTTTTGGCAGTGATGACCGAGACGATAAACAACAAGAACGTCTTGGGCGCCTGCTGCAAGAACGAGGGAGCCCGCTACCAGGAGTTCAAAGACCTGATTGCGGCCTTCGACAAAATCCAAAAGTCGCTTACAGACTACTTAGACACGAAGCGATCGGCGTTCCCGCGTTTCTACTTGATTTCGGACGACGAGCTACTGTCGATTCTGGGTACCTCCGACGTGCTGGCGATCCAGCCGCACATGATCAAGCTGTTTGACAACTGCAAAGAGCTGAACTTTCCCAGGGTGAAAACCGTGGCCGGCATGTGGTCCGAGGAAGGCGAGTACTTGACCTTTCACGAGACTGTGGCCGCGGAAGGCGCGATCGAAGACTGGCTGAACCGAGTGGACTTCCAGATGCAGGAGACGCTTATGCGCTTGTCCAAGGACGCGGTGTGGCACTACGCGAGCGAGGAGCGCGTGTTGTGGCTGCAGCGGTACGTGGGCATGGTTGCGATTTTGGGGACGCAGATCTGGTGGACCTGGTTGGTAGAGGACGCGTTCCGGAAGGTCGCCGAGGGGGATAAGAGCGGGATGAAAATGGAGCTCGCGAACCAGAACAAGCAGGTGACGGACTTGATCGTCTTGGTTTCGAGCAACATCTCGAAGCAGCAACGAAAAAAGGTGAACGCCTTGATTATTCTGGACGTGCACGCTAGGGACATTGTGGACCGCTTTGTGCGTGATAGCGTGCTCTCGGCCGACGACTTCGATTGGGAGTCGCAGTTGCGCTTCTACTGGGACCGCCGCATCGACGACGTGAGGGTGAAGCAGTGCACTGGTATTCTGCGCTACACCTACGAGTACCAGGGCCTCAACGGGCGTCTCGTCATTACGCCCCTGACCGATCGTTGCGTGATGACATTGACGACGGCCTTGACGTTCTACATGGGCGGCGCGCCAGCGGGTCCGGCAGGTACGGGTAAAACCGAGACGACCAAGGATTTGGCGAAGGCGCTCGCGATTCCCTGCGTGGTGACCAACTGCGGTGACGGTTTGGACTACCGTGCGATGGGTGTCATTTTTTCAGGGCTCTCCGAGACCGGTTTTTGGGGCTGCTTCGATGAGTTCAATCGTATCAATCCGGAGGTGTTGTCCGTGGTCGCCGCACAGATCAAGACGATCCAGCTGGGTCTCGCAGCAGGCTCGAAGACCATTGAAATGCTGAACCGCGAAATCGCTCTGAAGGTTACCATCGGCTACTTCATCACGATGAATCCCGGTTACGCAGGTCGTAGTGAGCTGCCGGATAACCTGAAGGCGCTGTTTCGTCCGGTGACGATGATTGTGCCAGACTTGATGATGATTTGCGACAACATGCTCATGTCGGAAGGTTTTCTGCTTTCTAAAGTCTTGGCAAAGAAAATGACCGTGCTGTACGCACTCTCTGCCGGACAGCTGTCGAAGCAGTACCACTACGATTTCAAACTGCGTGCGCTGAAGTCTGTGTTAGTGATGGCTGGAGATTTGAAGCGAGGCGCGCCCGACCTCGGCGAAGATGTGGTGCTCATGCGCGCGTTGCGTGACATGAACATCCCGAAGTTTGTGAAGCAGGATGTGCCGCTTTTCCTGGGATTGCTCAATGACTTGTTCCCTGGCCTCGACTGTCCCCGAGTCGGTAACCCCGAGCTTAAGCAGGGCATCATCGATATTCTCACGGAAAACAACAATCGACCGGCGCAAGCCAAATACAACGAAACCTTTGACCTCCAAGTGGATAAGGTACTTTTGCCCTTGTTCGTAATATCCTTACTTGCAGTCCTCTTCGCTTGATTCAGCCAGAAGGTACGCGGCAACATGATTTACGTTTGTTCCTTTGACATGTCCGTGACTCGTGGTCCAAATACTTCTATGATGCTGTATCTATTCCGACTTCGTAAATGAACTCTTCCACGCAGGTGATGCAATTGTACGAGACGATGCTTACACGCCACTCCACAATGGTTGTTGGACCGACGTGCGGCGGCAAGTCGGTGTGTGTGGAAACTTTGGCCGGGGCGCAGAAGCGCGCCTTGAATTTGCCCACCAAGATTTATCCGATCAACCCAAAGGCGGTGACGACAGACGAGCTTTACGGCGTGCTGAACCCGGCCACACGCGACTGGACAGACGGATTGCTGTCCAAGATTTTCCGCGATATGAACGCCAATTACGATCCGAAAAAGCCAGAGAGGCGTTACATTATGTACGACGGCGACGTCGATGCGCTGTGGATTGAGAACATGAACTCTGTGATGGACGACAACAAGTTGCTGACTCTGCCCAACGGTGAGCGTATTCGATTGGAGAATCACTGCGCGATGTTGTTCGAGGTGTACGACTTGCAGTACGCTTCGCCGGCCACCGTGAGTCGTTGCGGTATGGTCTACGTGGACGACCGCAACTTGGGCAACGGGCCTTACTATGATCGCTGGGTGCGGCTGAAGTGCGGGCAGCACGAGCCCATGAAGGAGCAGCTGTTGGATCTCTACGGCAAGTTCTGGCCGCAGCTAGTCCTGTACGTGTACGAGGGCCGCGTCGGGGAGAGCGTCGGGGAGCCCGTGCCGTTGCAGATTCCACGATCGCAAGTCGGAACGGACGCGATGTACCAGTTCTCGAAGCTGTTTGACGCCATTGTTGCCACCGTGGACGACAGCGGCGGCGGCAAAGAGGGTGAGCAGGACAACTCTTCGCGCGACACGATGATGACCACCAGCGGCGTCGAGATTTCCCTCGACCTCTTAGAGCACATCTACGTGCTGTGTTTGGTCTGGTCAGTGGGAGCCGCGGTTGACGAGAAGGGCAGGATCTTGTTTGACGAGTTTATTCGCAAAAGATCTTCGAAGATGATGCCCTCGACGCCCTTGTACGATAACTACTTCGACTACGAGTCCTCGGGACGCTGGGTGCCTTGGGACGACCTGATCCCGGAGTGGAACCCGCCTTTGGACATCAATTTCAACCAGATCTTGATTCCCACCGTGGACACCACGCGCTACAGCTGGCTCATCAAGAAGTTTCTCTCGGTGGCGCAGCCCACTCTGTTTGTCGGTGAATCGGGTACGGCGAAGAGCGTCACGACGCAGAGCTGCCTGGAAACGGGGTGGAGCAGCGAGGAAAGCATTATTCTGAACATCTCTTTTTCGAGTCGCACGACCAGTATGGACTTCCAGCGCACGATCGAAGATAACGTGAGCAAGCGCACAGGAAGGCAGTACGGACCCGAACAAGGCAAGCGCCTCCGCATCTTCATCGACGACTTGGCCATGCCCAAAATCGACACCTACGGCACGCAGCAGCCGCTGGCTCTGCTGAAATTCCTAGTCGAGCGCGGCTACATTTATCACCGTATTGAACTGGAGAAGATGCTGATTCTAGATTGCGAATACATCTCCGCGATGCAGCCACCAGGCAGCGGGCGCAACCACATCGACCCGCGCGTTGCCTCGCTGTACGCGATTGTGGGTGTGCTGGCGCCGTCCGTAGCGACGGTGGAGCGGATTTTTGCGAGCATCCTGGCGTTCCGGTTTCAGTCGGGCGCTTTCCCCGACAGCGCGAAGGACGCCACACTTAAATTGCCTCAGATGGCGATGGAGGTGCACAACAACGTGATCGCGTCGTTGCCACCCACGCCATCGAAGTTTCACTACATCTTCTCGTTGCGCGATTTGAGTCGCGTCTTCCAAAACCTGTTCATGACAGCGGACCCAGCGTACCTTGCGACGGACGTGCAGGTGGTTCGCATGTTCCGCAACGAGGCCCTGCGCGTGTACGACGACCGGCTGAACGATGAAAAGGACAAGGAGTTCATTGCAAACCAGCTGGCGGCAGCCGTGCGCGCCAACTTTGGGGGCGTCGCGGATGCGGTGATGGCCGATCCGATGGTGTTCGGCGACTTTCGGGAAGTCTTGGACAGCATGATGAAGAGCGAAACGCCCTGGTTGGTGCCGCGCAGCTATGTGGACTTGGGCAACTGGGAGAACGTGAAGAGCATCATGAACCCGATTCTCGAAAATTACAATTTGGACAACAAGATCATGAATTTGGTGCTCTTCGTGGACGCGATGGCGCATTTGACGAGGGTGCATCGCATTATCCGCATCCAGCGTGGACACGCGTTGCTCATCGGTATCGGCGGCAGCGGCAAACAGTCCCTCACTAGGCTCGGGACCTACACGGCCTGTTACAACTTGTACGAAATTACTCTGGCGCGCGGCTACGGTGACAGCAACATTCGCGAAGACTTAAAAGCCCTCTACACGGCAGCAATCAAACGCCCGCATAGCTTCTTATTCCGTGACCAGGACGTGGTGCAGGAAGGTTTTCTGGAGTACATCAACATTAAGGCAAGTTCAGTTTAGAAATTTTCTATCTACTTTTTGAGGCATTGGTATGCTATTCGATTCAGACTCTTGTGTTGTCAGAGGACACCTATTGCGTTTCCTTCAAACGCAGAAGAGCCTCAAGAAGACGGGTCTCTGGTAAGTAAGTAGATGGATTTGAAAGGACCGGTTCTAATGAAAATATTCTGACTGTGGGTATGGTTCCCGCGTTGATGGCCGAGGATGAGAAGGAGCCTCTGTATCAGGTCGCGCGGCCCGAGGCAAAGAAACAAGGTATTCCGGAAACAGGGCTGTGGGGGGTCGTGGTGAACATGCTCAAGGACAATCTGCACATGGTGCTTGCAATGTCTCCAGCCGGATCGCAACTAAGAACAAGGTGTCGAAACTTTCCGGGAATGGTCAGTTGCTGTACAATCGATTGGTTCTTCTCGTGGCCTGAAGAAGCTTTGCTGGCGGTCGCGGAGTACTTCTTGTTACGAGTGCAAAGTAGTTCTAGTTTACCACTCCTCCTGAAACTCGGTGCGACAACATACCCTCCCGAGTTTGGGCTATCCTGATTCCTCAGTGAAAAGAATTGATTTGAGAATTCTTTTCTGTTGAAGTGATCATGTCCAGGGGTTCTTCACAGCCTTATATTATTCAGTCAATGTCACGTTGAGTGAATAAATTTCCGTCATCTAATTTTGAGCAACGTTGAGCTGCCACCAGAGAATCGCAATGACATTGCGAAGACCATTTCCTACGTGCACACGAGCGTGACCACGAGCTATAGTCCGGATTTCGAAGCGAAGTTCAAGCGAAAGAACTTCGCCACACCGAAAAACTACTTGGATTATCTCGCGAACTACAGCGAATTCTTGGAGAAGAATCGGGATAACAGCGACGCGCTGAAAAAGCGGCTGGGTGGCGGTCTCGAGAAGCTCATTGAGGCGGCTGAGCAAGTGAGCGTGATGAGCGAGGAGCTAGCGAAGAAAGTAGTCATCGTTGCGGACAACGCAAAAAACGTCTCCGCTTTGATCGAGGAGATCAACCAGAAAACGGAAGTAGCAACGAAGCGGCAAGAAGAAGCAAATGTTAAGACTTTTTGTCATACATTGTTGATCATCACCTCGAGTAAAGATGTAGACCTTTCTTGCAATTCATTACCACCGGACCGTGAGTAAAAGTATAGGTCTAGTACATCATTGCTGCTGACGCAATTTATTATCAGCTGGATTAAAGATGTAGATCACCTAGTAGTAGATCATGTTTCCTTCTGACGTTGCTAGCATAAGCAAACACGTATAACCGGCTACCGTGTACTATTCTTCGGTTTTCCTTCCATATTAGCATTCCGAGAAGGTAAAACGTAGAAACTGTTTTTGAACAGTGGAGAGCCCTAAAACAGCGGCAGCAAAAAAGATCGAGGAGGACAACGTGGTCATCGTACGGGAGAAAGCGGATGCTGACGAAGCTCTGCAAGCAGCGCTTCCGGCACTAGCCGCTGCAGCTGAAGCCCTCGAAAATCTCGACAAAAAGGATATCACGGAGGTCTGTCTACTTTTTGATGCTGCATCTCTAGAAATTTCAATATTTGAATTCTTCATTTCGTAAAGACTATAGGATGTCAGTATATTGCTACATTTCTTCTTATATTCTGTATTGGCGCCTTTGATCCTTATTTAGAGGCGAATACTTCCCATGAAGTTATAAATTAAATGAACAAACTTTGAAAAACATTACTATGCATGATTTATAGGTGAAAGCGTTCACGACGCCGCCACCTGCGGTGATGGCTGTGACTAAGGCCATCATGATTCTGCGCCCGTTAGGTCGCGAGGATGCGTCCCAGGGCTGGGCAGGGGCCAAAGCGATGATGAGTGATACGGGTTTCTTGCGGTCGCTGCAAGAGTATCGTAAGGACGACATGAAGGAACGGCAAATCACGCAGATTCGCGTGGAGTTCAATAAAGATAAGGAGACACTGGTTGATAACGACGGCGCGAAGATGAAGACTATTTCGAAAGCGGGCTATGGTTTGTTGCAGTGGACACTGGCGATGACCAAGTACTACGACGTCGCCAAAACAGTAGAACCCAAGAAGAAACTGGTGAAAGAACTGCAGGTCCAAAAAGAAGAAGCAGAAGCCAATCTCGAAGCGATTAACGACGAACTGGAAAAACTCTCCTCGAACTTGGCCAAACTGACCGAAGACGAGAAGGAACATTAAGACCTCGTGTTAAAAAGTGAGTTGTAACAGTGTATATTAAGAAGTAAATGAAAAGAACAACAAGTAGCATTTTTAGAATTTCCTACGCGTCCTCTGAGTCTGACTGCAGGACTTAGGAGCTACATTACTATTTGGTAATTGCATATAGTCACCAATGTAGTGTTTATTGAAACGAAAGGAACATTTTTCCAAGTGGTCGCTATTTAATACGTGGTTGTAACATCCCACCTGCTAACAAGAGTCCGCGAAGTTGAAGGAATTGAAGGACGAGGCGGATTTGATGCAACGGCGACTAGGTGCTGCTTCCCAGCTGATTTCCGGATTAGGCGGGGAGCGCGTAAGATGGACTGCGGACCTAGAGGTGCAAGGCGAGATCCGAACGAGGTTGGTGGGGGACTGTCTCACTGGCGCAGCTTTCGTGTCGTATGCCGGACCCTTCAACCACGAGTTCCGAACACAAATGGTGTACAAGGACTGGTTTGGCTTTATCGACAGCAACAAAATCCCAATCTCACCACAATACAGACTAGAAACGTTGCTGACAACAGAAGTGGAGGTAGCGGCGTGGAATGGATTCGGTCTGCCAGCAGATGAGCTGTCAGTGCAAAACGGTACTTGAATTTATTGTCCACAAGCGATCTCATCCTCAGCTGATCAAATAATAGAAACAGAAGGCAATCGAACGCTTATCATCCCATGCTTGCTAGCTTTAAGTTTTTGCCTTCAAAGAAGCCAGTAAGAAAGTACAATGTGCTCATCTTCATCTCATATACTAATAACAAGGTATCCTCGTCGCTCGGTCTGCACGATATCCACTCTGCGTGGATCCCCAAATGCAGGCGGTTAACTGGATTAAAAAGAAAGAGGCGAAAAACGGCTTAACCGTGAAGACTTTTAACGACGACTACATCAAATTTCTAGAGCTCGCGATCACGTACGGAAAGCCGTTCCTCTTCGAAAACCTAGACTTAAGAAAAAGATTCTTATACCGACGAGGTAATCTTCTCTGGTAGAATGTGCTGCTATGTTGAGCGATGACTATTACCGCTCCCATAAAGTGTGCGTTGAAAGACCACTGCGTCCTCACTCTATGTATATCATAGCTTCTAAAGATTAGATACTTCACTTTCAATGCAGTCTGTATCACAAGATGAGATACTGTTTTCAAAGGCCATTCAACTCCGTTTTTTAGCATTTTTTCTAATTTTCGAGGAGTTGGATCCTATGATCGATCCTGTATTGGAGAAGGCCTATACTATTGTTTCCGGCGTGAAGATGCTGAAATTTAAGGCTCGATACAATTCATTTCCAAGGGTCATTTTCTTCGGTCTCTCCCTTGGGTTTCCGAAGAAATGAAGGTAAGAAGTGAATGGTTTTGAGCTCTAAGAAATTAGGCGATTCGGAGCTGGAGGTATCGCCAACGTTCCAGCTGACTCTGTGCACGAAATTGTCAAATCCTTCCTACACACCAGAAGTAATGGGCAAGGTGTCCATTGTCAACTTCGTCATTACTTTATGGCTTTCATCATGTACACTGTAACTCTACAGTAAAACACTACTACTCCGCATGATGGTGACATGTTGAAAAATCAGGATCGGATCACTTTTAGCAGAGGACAAGATGAAACTGGTGATAAGATAGAAGACTACAGAGAAGATAATGCATCTATGATTATTTCTACAAGAGTGTCAAATCTCGCTGGTGCTATCCGGGAAGAGCTGCGTTGGTTCTTTCGAGATGCATTAATGAGATGGTGGGAGGAGAGTTTGATGCTCGATGACCTTCACAGCAGATTTGAATGTAGAAGGTCTTTCTGGACGAGATACAGATTGATACGAGCAGCTGCTATTTAACGTTGTCGCAGGCGTCTCTAATTTCTCTCGACGGTCTGGCGGCGCAGCTGCTCAACGTGGTTGTCGGGTTCGAGCGGCCGGATCTAGAGGCGCAGCGGTCAGCACTGGTGCAACAAATGAGCGACAATAAACAGATCCTCAAGACATTAGAGGACACCTTGTTACGAGAGCTCGCGAATTCAAAGGGAAGTATCCTCGACAATGAAGGTAACAGTATATTTCTCTCTTCGTAACACGAGACATCCAGGAGATCATCGTCTTTTCAGACCAATTTTCCTGGTAGTACTTTCGCTGATTTGGTATCGCACTGAACTCTTTCATTCAACTCGATGATAATTTACCTAAGAAGAAGAACATCCAATACAGATTTGATCAACACGTTGAATACGGCGAAGGCGAAGAGTATAGAAATCGGGGAGTCGTTGGATGCTGCTGCCATCACCTCAGCGGAGATAGACAAGACGCGATCGGCCTACACGAAAGTCGCAAAGCGAGGGTCAATTCTTTATTTACGGCTACTCACTAAACATTACTACTTCTAGCTCCACTTCACAGTAGCCGAATAGTTTTCCCTCATTTTCATCCTAGGTGAGACCCTCTAGTCAATGACTCAAATTTGCTGCCGTTGATTTGAAGTTATTCAGTACAACATGCGCGCCGCCTCGCGATGTTTTTTAGTTTCCTCTTTTTGGCCGTATTCGTGACACGAGTCGCCATGTATGTTTCACCAAAACTCGTTGAACATCAAATCGACTACATTCTTTCAACGAGAATACTGAAGAGGCAGATAGTCTGGATCCTCTAACCTACTTTACCATGGCCGGACTGGTCGCGATTTCGAACATGTACGAATATTCGCTCGGCAGTTACCTGGAAGTCTTCGAAAATGCAATCAAGGAAGCAAAGCCAGACAGGATCCTCGACAACCGTCTAAAGAACTTGCGTGAGAAAATCACCCAGATGATGTACTTTGTTTTTCCTCAGTAGCTTGTGCTTGTGTTTGGTTTTAGTAGCCTTGTTGCTGTTATCGTCGAGGACAACCTTATTTGTGGCTAGTATTGATTTTGAAGAGGAAGTGGATCAATCAAACTAGCAGCATGCTCCTATTTGCTACTGTTCCTCGTACTCATCAACCTTTTCGGGACTATGCAGGTACGACTACACATGCATGGGTATTTTTGAGAAGCATAAGCTTCTCTTCTCCTTCAAGATGACGACGATGATCATGCAGGGCGATGAGTTATGCTCAATTGTGTAGTAGTTTGCAAGCTTACTCGATAATTGTCATCTGTCCCTTTGTAAAAGCGAAGACCCTAGTATTACTTAGAGTCAACCCTTAGTACACCGCAACGCTTAGAACAGACCTTACGAATTTTCCCTCGACGTAAATAACTTACTTATTTACATGCTAATCACATATAGACGTGTCTCATCTTCTGCCGCCAAATAGAGTAAGAAGTAGAACTCTTTACGTTTTATAATTCCAGCAGATGCAGATTACTAGGATCTTGAGAGCAGCATGATGTGATAATATGTTTAATTTTCTCTACTATGAAATGAAAAAGATTGCTCTTACTTAGCAATCTTACGTTTCGGTTGTGTGCTAGGAACTGACTGCAGCATTTCAACTCTAAGAATGGAGTTGATTCAGAAGGAGTTTGATTTTTACATGAAGGGCAATCCGTCCCTAGAGAAGGCTCAGAAAGCCAACCCGCACACCTGGATATCAGAGGGATCATGGAAAGACTTGGAGCTTTTATCGACACTCGATCCCAGTTATGAGCAAACGCATACTTGCTTGAACTTTTATAATTTTAATTTCGATATTGATGTAAGTCTACTGAAGAAGGGATTATAGTTGATGCTCGTGTTGAAGCTGATAGTAGCTGGGGTCAATAATAGAAATGTTATTGATTTTGATATGATTTCGTGAATATTCATGCTCCGATTCTTCTACGTGCTACTAGAAACGACTAGAATTTTAGATAGCTGATCTTAGTACTCTTCATGATAAGAATCTCTAAGTTCGTATGAAGACGCTCTGCGACGATATTATCAAGGAGGGAGCGGCCTGGAGAGCGTGGTATGATCTAGAGACGCCGGAAAGCGAAGTGATTCCATGCGGATACGGCGAATTAGACCCCTTCAAACAGATGCTCATCATCCGTTGTTTCCGACCTGATCGAATCATCAATGCGACGAAAAACTTTATCTTATGATACATCTCTGCCTCTGGATTTCAATTCATTGTGTGACTTCTTCTGTTTTTAATAGGTCTTTTAGTTGTAAGAGTACGAATAACGATAGCGGACCATTGGTATAGAAGTGGTTACCATTCGGTTCCAAGAAAGTTATGGAGCCGATTAGTAATGCCTAGATTATATGTAGTTCCCAACTCTAATATGTATTTGGCGACTGTACGACTACTTTGTTCAGCCACCATCGCTGCAGTTCGACAAGATCTATGCACTGAGTAGCGAACGGAGCCCCATCGTTTTCGTGCTGTCACCAGGTGCCGATCCGCAGTCCGATCTGCAGAAACTGGGTGAACAAATGGGTTTCGTGGGTCCCAAATGTAAGGCTCATATTGTATCCTGATAGGTGTCGGAACCCATACGTCTGTTAGAGAGACTTGGCGAAAAGAACCTTGTTACAGACGTCGGGAAAAGTACAAAAACTCCGACGAAGAATTACGGATATCTCTAAGCAATTTCGATTCGTTTCCCTCGGTCAGGGTATGGGACCAGTTGCAGCTGCCAATATCGAAAGTGGGCATACTAGAGGACAGTGGGTCATATTGCAGAATTGCCATCTGCTTGTCTCGTGGTTGCGAACACTCGAGAAAATATTAGAGTTATGAACTGAAGTTTTTGATACGAGAACTAATTGTATGATTGAGTGTTAGTTTTCATAGGATAACCGCGAACAACAACAACTCTCCACCTCCATGCTCGATCCAGGTCAATACCGTTTTTTGATATACTGATAGTTTCGAAGGAGCCTATCCATCAGGCCCTGGTTTACCTTAGCTTTTCTAATAGATGGAATCACGAAGCCGCACAAAGATTTCCGATTGTGGCTGACAACGATGCCTATCGATAATTTTCCCATGGGCATTTTGCAGAAGTCGCTTAAGGTTGTGACCGAGCCGCCAGATGGACTCAAGTTAAACATGAAACAGACCTACACAAAACTGAGCGACGAAGACCTGAACCAGTGCCCTCATTGGGCTTGGAAGCCTCTCGTCTATGTGCTTGCCTTCTTCCACGCTATTGTCCAGGATAGACGGAAATTCGGTACATGCTTAGTCGCACGCTTACTTTCTTTACTAGTCCACCCACGCGATTGTGATTGTGAAGCACTATTTGTACTGATCAGATTTTGAAAATGTATGTCTAAAGCCCGTTTATCTTTATATATAACGACCGCACGCAATTTATCATTACCTACAAGTGAAATAACATTTGAAGCCATACCACTTTCATTTTCAGGTAAGATCGGGTGGAACGTGGCCTACGACTTCAACGAGTCAGATTTGATGATCTCAAACAAGTTAACGGCACTGTACCTACAGAAGTCTTTTGACCAGGGCGCGGTGATTCCTTGGGACACACTGATTAAGGCACTCAATTACACTATAATTGGTCATGCTGAAACTGCAATATGCGCAGTAGGGTAAGTTTATTAAGTTTATTTGGCTCCTGTCCTCCCCCATCCTTTACGTAGTTTAGGTCAAGTCGTCCTAAATTTGGAAATGGAGTTGCCTCCATAGAAAAAATAATAACTTTTCCGATCTGGTCAGCAAAAGGCGACTGCACATCGTGATCTATTGAATAGTAGTAGTTGTAAGTGGTGCTTAGAGAGTTAAATGAAGTAGGACAGGTCTTGATTTGTTTCGCCCATCCGCAGCGTTCTAATTTGGGGTACCTGATCGGCGAGGCAATGTATGGCGGTCGTGTGACGGACAACTACGATAGAAGGGTATTCATTAGACTTTTCTGAATGTGACATAATATGATAATACTGACATATCAACACTACCAGGAACAAGTACTATCATGTCACATTGACACTAGTACAGTTGCACGTCGATGTATTAAGTGTTTGCCTCTCTTTTGAAGTATTCTGTTGATATTTCTCGATCGGCAAGCTTTCACATTTTTGTGAATTCATAACATCTGTGACGGTCTTCACCTCTCTTGTTCTTACCACCATTTTAACTCTTTTCACCAGGTCTTGAACACGTACCTAGAGGATTACATGGGTGATTTTCTCTTTGATGAGAACGTGCCCTTCTTCTTCTCGAAAGACGGATTCGAGTACAAATGCCCTGGCCAGGGGGACCATGCTGACTACATGTCGAATATCCTCTCACTGCCGATTTCGCAAAGTCCAGGTACCTGGAGAAAATAACTCAAACGTCCATCTGTGCAAACCTGACCTAACCTAATCAAAATCATGTAGTTGGGTCGCGATACAAAAACCTATGGTCACATAGATGATGATAACATATCCACCGTACAGGGTAGACGTAGATGAATTATTTTTGTGTCTACTTCTTTGGATGTTCTTGCAAGAAGTTCTTGCCTCACTGTAGGGACACAATGTCCTATCATGAGTTGTCATATAATCTCTATAAACTACACTCTGTCCTTCATCTGTATTAGGTGTTTTCGGTCTCCATCCGAATGCGGAAATTAACTATTTTACCAACGCTGCGAAGGAGATTTGGTTCGGTCTATTAGCTATGGAGACTGGAAGTGGTGGAAGCGAGGGAGGCGTTTCCAGAGACGACCACATCGCAAAGGTAGCAGATGATATCGTGAAAAGAATACCAGACGATGACCTCAAGTTCATTAAAGGTATTTCTATTTTTGATGTTCTTCGTATCGTACAACGAAGATCTCAAATTGTTCTTTTTTATTCAAAGAAATGTATTCTTTCACCGTTTGACTTTGAGGAAGAATGTAACCCCAAAGATTGTAGGGCTGGATTTCTTATGCAGACAATGACGGTCATAATATGTTGATCGTTTTACAAGGATCTGGAAGAAGATAGTAGTTGGAAGAAAAGGGTCGAATAGAAGATGAAATTCTCCCTGTGATTGAAGTAGATGATGGAAAGAAAAACACCAAGTCGTGTTTATTGTAGGATGTATTTGATCTTCAACGCATGACAGATGATGTCCCGACGCCGAACGAGGTCGTTTTGATGCAAGAGATGGAGCGCATGAACGCGTTGACAACGCGCATGTACATTAAGGCTTTGCACATGAATCCTGATATACTACTCCAGAACCACATTACACTTCGAGAATAACTTACTCTTTCGGGTAGAAACATCTGATAATACATAGCCCTTTGATGCCACAGAAACATCTGAAAGTACACCGTCCTCTAAGACAAGCAGTTTGTTGGATCTGAAGCGCGCACTGAAGGGCGAGATCGGTATGTCGCAATTACTGGACGACATCGGTTCGTCGTTGTTTAACGGTTTTCTGCCATCATGGTGGGCCAAACTTGCGCCGCAGACGGAGAAGCCTCTCGGTAGTTGGATGGACCACTACAGTAAGCGGTACTTGCAATACGACACGTGGGCCAAGGAGGGCGATCCCGCTGTATTCTGGCTATCTGGACTTCATATTCCGGAGTCGCTGCTGAGTAGTATCATTCAGACAACGTGCCGTCTTAAAGGCTGGGCATTGGATAAAGCTACCATGTTCACGGAATGCACCAAATACACCGAAAAAAGCCAGGTCTCGGAAAGGCTTCTCGACGTTATGGAGCACGACTTAACGTCATTTTTATCCGTATATGTACTAGACTGGAGGTTTTCTCTATCTCTATCGTGCAATCGATTTTTCGATTATCTAGTAAGGTTGACAAGATTATACTAGTGCTTGCTTTATTGCCGACGTGAGGTCAAGGCATATCCTGTCCTGTCCTCTTCTTCTCTATCCCATCCTCTTTGTCGCACAGCGTCACAACAACAGCAACAAAGCAACAACAACAAAAGAGTCTGTTTTTTTTTCTAACTTTGGCACCTACGTGGAGGGCCTGTACATCGAGGGCGCGCGCTGGGATCTAGAAAAGGGTTGCTTAGCTAGACAGCTACCGAAAGTGCTGGTGGAGGTGATGCCGCTGATCAAGATCATCCCGGTCGAGGCCAACCGTCTGAAGCTGCGAAACTCGCTACCGACACCCGTCTACATCACGCAACTGCGACGAAACGCCATGGGTGTGGGGCTCGTCTTCGAGGCGAACTTGCACACAGAGGTACACCCGAGTATTTGGGTCTTGCAATCGGTTGCGATGATGCTCAACGACGACTCGTAAGCGTGACGCAGTGGGTGAAATCAACCTCCGACAGAACCAAAGGAGATGAAGCGTAGTACTTCGACTTCATCGTAGGAATGGAGAATTATTACTAGGGGGAAACGGATGGGCATTTTCGTACCTATTTAGGTTCTGCTTGTCGAAAGAGGAGGTCCCTGTCCCTGATTTCTTTAGTACCCCTGTGGTCCACCTCGTCAGAGTCTTCAAATTTGTTTACTCGAGTTTCTACAGGACATATCATTGAACATTTATCTCTATCCTCTGATTGTCTACGTCTCCTCTCAGCATTAAATAGTTGTTCCTGTCTCCTCTTATAAAGTCAACGCGATTCTCCATCATCTGTGTCTTCTTCATCTCGTTCCTTTTTTGTTCTTGCATTAATTTGTCGTAAAAGGAAAGAACAAGCGTAGCAAAGCGTGGCCTCCTGCATGGAGCTTCGTCAGTTCGAAGTAGAAGAGGCAAATGTTCGTTTTCTCATCTTATTTCTGTTCAGTTCTCTCATCAACAGCTGTGCGGAAAACACGATTTTCTTAACACTAAGTCTCTTGCGTCTTCATCATCCAATTTCTTGCTATGGTCGTCTCTCTCCTGATTTATTCTTATCTTGATAGATAGCTAGGTCTGGTCCATTATCAAAAACAAGATACGACACGCGCGGGCGGGGAATGTTGGCTCTTCTTGTTGGTGCAGCAGTGACCGGCATCTATTTCGACTACCAAATCTCTTGGTGTTGTAGTAATGTTAGTTATTATCTTCAAATCGTAAGCCTTATTTCTTGTTGTAGTTATTTCTTACTGTTGCCCAAATCACAGAACGCTATATGCGAAACAGATTGCCCATCTATAATAGAAGTGTGTACAGGTACCGCGTAAACAAATGTGTACAGATTGAGTTGCTAGACGTGGAAACATAATGAAACACCGTAACAACCTCTTGCAGAACCCTGTTGAAGAACGTCCATGATTGATGTTGTCGCTTCCCCCGTGCTTAATTTTTCACAATCTATAGATAACCGGTACTAGGCTAGTAGGACTGCCAGGGAAACACCACGATAATGGAGTAAGTACTTCGTACTGCCGCGGCTTGACCCGGTGGAGTCGCTTGGAAGCAGCGTAGTATCTTCAAGGGTGGTGTCACGTGGCTTCCGATAAAATGAAATGAAACCAAAGGAGACGGATGTCTCTGACCCTATGGATATTTTTCGACGAGGACAAGAAAAAATAATGTTTATGCTATCGCGAAACTTGAAACGTGCAGTCATCTATACGAGGACTTCAGCTATACCAAGTGAAACAAAGAGTTATGAACTGTCATGGCAACACCCCAAATGATGAATTCAAATGTACCCTTGTTGTGAAAAATGCTGTCCCCTTCACCCTTTCCCGCCTTGAAATAGTACAACGACGGCTTACGGTATCAATGTAACTAATGTTTTCGTGCGCCATCACGCTGAAAAATTTTTTGCATGCTATTTCACGCGCGTGGAAACCGAGCGCGTTGTGGACCAATGGTCGCGAGATCTCGTGAGTGGGTCGTAGCAGGTAGTAGAGAGTGACCGGGCACTAACGGCACTTTTTGTACCATCAAAAAGAAAACATATGCGAATCTGCGAACCAAGGACTCGGAGCGAACTACTGTCCCATCATTTTCGTCCACCAGGTGTGATGATAGGCCACAGCGATCTATGTTGATTGTCTTCATATAACATAATATTAGCGCTGTTGTCGCTCCGATCATGTAAGAGATGTGGCCGTTCCTGTATCTAGAAAACTGAAATTCCCTTCTCTTTCGTGGGAACTGACTGAGAGTATTGTGATGCAATGATGATGAGAGTATCAATTCTCAAAGACTGGAAATTGCATGAGCAGCACGACACGACCGGAAATTAGTAGGATGAGCTCGTCAGATCTAATACGAGCACAAGGTAGACATACTACAAATTCATATAATTTGGATACAGGTATAATTATCAGATAAGATTTTTGACTATCTGAGGTTCACAAGATTATCAGCTGCAGTAGTACCACAGGAACAAGTTTTCAGTTGTGATGAGTGCGTTCAGTAGTTCGTATTCAATTTTTTCGTTTTCCATGCGTACGAGACGACCAGCAACTGCTTATAAAAGCTTTTTGAAATAAAGATAGAGACTGAGAGAGACATAGAGCATCGCTATAGACGAAAATATACGTAGGAGCCGTGGATTTTACGTCTTTCCGAGAGCTAGTAAGAGCCTTAGGGTGACCTGGATTCCACTGGCTTTTGGCGTGTAGAAGAAGACGGCAAAATAAAAGTGTAACATTTACTTAGTCGAGACAGATGGCATGACTGGACCGGGGTTCCTCCTGTTGCTCACCTAACAACCCGATGATGCCACCACAAGCTGACCCTGGGATCCTATAACAACAGCAACGGACGACACAGCTAAGGGAAGCTGACGCTGGTTGTCGAGCATTTACAAGGAAGCAACATCTGCCAAGCTGACGGTGGTACTATACCTGAAGTTCTAGGACAAAGGACACAGGCAAGGTAGAAGCCATGCGGGGCGCGTTGTAGACAGATCGGCCCGACGGGATAACGAATGATCACTACAAGTACAATGGATCTGCAGGACGAGAGTCGATCTGCGGGATAACGCGGGACCACAAGCGAGCGTTCGCGTCGTTTACAGGTTTCCCGGTTCCGGATGGCCCAACACGCGTTTTTGATGAAATATTCATGCTTTATTCTCCAGTGTCGTGTGGAAGGTAGTGTTGCAGACTGAAAACCAAGGACAGTGCTGCTGACGCAGTTCTCACGATACCGAGTATAAGGGTAAGCGATTGGGTGTAACGGAGAGGTGCAATTATCCCTGATGCGCGGCGAACCTGATGAAGACCTTGCGCAGCTACCAAGATTTCCTAGATCTGAACTTCATCATAGAGAAGAAGAAGAAGACGAAGAAGAACGGCGTTCTATGACCTGAACAACAACAACAACTAGAGTGGGGCGAATGTAGTGATGGGTCTGGTACAACTCTATCATTTTTCTAGCTGTTAGTAGTACATAAGAATAGAAACAGAAGGGCCGATGAGAACGTCCAGGACACTTCACGAAGAGAAGAATTTCACCGAAGACTATAAGACCTTGCGCCACGAACCGCAACGAGCGTAAGCAGAACTTTTTTTCGAGTGCAGCCATCCGGTACTCCTCCTTGAGAGAGGTCCAGAGCATCAGGACTTTTGCTCCCGGTATTTTTTTCGTGAGAGGAGGTCCACATCATGGGCTGCGAACAAAGCAGACCTTTTGCGCCTGACGGTGCGCAACCGGGTCCCAACGTGCGGTCCGAGATCGCGGGTCGGGACAATCTTGCACGGCCAACGTCCTTGGAGGCGAAGATTGTTCTTCTGGGTGATAGCGGTGTTGGGAAGTCTTCGCTCGCCCTTCGGTATTGCCAGGGAAGATTTTCACCCTTTCATGAGGTATAATTTTCTGGTAGGACCATAATATCCACGTGAAGATGAAATAGAAATGCCCTCATCATCTTCATCTTCATCAGTCATCATTATTTTCTCCTGGTTTCTCACCTCCGGAAATATTACTGCAAAAGTGGGCACCTAAGAGAACTTCTTACTCTCTATCTTTCAATAGAGACAATTTACCTCTCACAAATAGTCCTGGGTCCAACATATCACCATTCTCTGGGACTACAACGTTTTTACCGTGAGTAACCATTTATTTTTTCTGATGTGACAGGTGACAATCGGCGCAGCGTTTCTTCAGCAGATGATCAGGTTACCAGATGGGCAGCAGCTGAAATTGCATATATGGGATACAGGTGGTCAAGAGAGGTTTCGAGCAATGGCTCCGCTTTACTATAGAGACGCCCTTGGAGCGCTCATAGTGTACACTCTACCTATATTAAATTTTTATCGTATGATTTGCAGTGATTGATTTTTAATACCAACATTAATCTTCCCTTATAATTTATTCTTCTTCTTGCTTGTAATTCCTCCTCCTTGTTCTGAATGCAAAGACAACTCTACAAAACATGTTGCTCGGTTGTCTTTGTATTGAAAAAATATGTTCAAGAACAAGTTTTACGGGCCATTCTCCTGCGATATGTGATACACAATAATAGTTGGTGTTGTTCTACTAGATGAGGTTGTATAGGGCCAACCTACAGGTATGATCATACGGACGGCGCGAGTTGGGAGTCCGTGCGTTATTGGGTGGACGAGCTTCGAAATAAAGGACCGGAAAACGTTTGCCTAGCAGTAGTGGCAAACAATTAGGGTGCCTCACTGAAAAATTTGTGTCACTCTGTGTGAGGTGTGCAGGGATAAGATTACGACTACTTTTTAGTGTCATGGTCAGTGCCGTCATCCATCTGCGACGATGACCATGACTAGTATTTTACACATCAAAACGTATAAGTACGTTATTATTGTAAAATTCATTGCTCGTCTTAATGATTCCCTTACACAAATAGTTCTTGTGGATAAATGAAGCCTCTAAAATATGTGCGACCTTGGCGGTGCTTCTAGCGGTGCTGCCGGAGAAGGTGAAGACACTCGGGAGGAAAAATTGTCAGGGACAGACCCGGAGCAAGCAAAAGCATGGTGCCAGGAGCAAAACATGCTCTTTACAAAAGCATCCGCCAAAACAGTTAAGGTCCTTCTGGGTATTGGTACGTAGATATCGGTACACAAGATGATCATGTGTAATAGTTAGAAGCTTGTAAGAATAATGGCACCTCATGTGGCTTCTTGATTTAACATACCATAGCAGTGATGTTAAATCTTCCTATTCCTACACGGATGTCGATGCGTTATGTCTGTTGCAGACAGTGTAGTAGACCAGTTAGAGACGCCATGCGGATGCTGATCATCCTATTGATTTAGAGCGCTCCTCCTCCTTAGGCCTACGCCAGAAGAATGATGGCCCTAATTTAGAGCGTTCGTCTAACTTTTGCGAGGGGGTTAACACGGTATTTGCGACACTGGCGAATCGTATCTTCCAGGAGACGCTGAGCAAAACGAGATAGTTCTTGTCGCAGATGCAATGGCGACGAAGATGGTTTTGTTGCTGTTTGAATAGAGACGACCCACACGCAGATATTATTGCTACTTGCTTCTAGATCGTTTGGCTCCACAAAGAAACGAGAACACCTTCGATGCTGAAAAGAAAGACCATCCATGGTCACACAATTTTCCCTCCATCAGTCAAATCGTCGAACTTCATGCATGCAAGCGGCGTTGTCACGTGTCAACCTTGAAAGGATCTTGCAGTCTGAACGTTGTGAGTGTTGTACGTAGAAAACTGACCTCCTTCGTATAACGGACCAACTCCTCGTGTCTTCTTCGTGTAACGTCAGCAGGGATCATGAGGATAGTTTCTCATCGTCGTGAGTTCCCGCTTGTTCACCATCTCGAAGCGTATGAGAAAACCGAAGGAAGGAAGCGGTCGGCCATTCGGCTGTTCTCGAGAGACCTGCTCGTAAAGACACTTCGGATTGGCTAATCGGGAAAAAGTGAAAGTGTCGGTTGAAATTCAGCAATAAAGGAGATAAAGCCGCTTTTTGTACTTCTTCATCTTTTTGAAAGACAGTGAGAGCCCCTAGCCGAAAGATGCTTTAGAATCCTGCAAGCGTGGCCTGGATAGTGTTTGTTTTGGATTGTAAAACGCAGAAAGAAAGGTAAGGCGGTGCGGCACGCATGCAGTGAGGGTTTTTGTCATGGAGTCGCGATTGACGTGTGTTCTTGGCGGAGCGGCAGGAGTTGAAGAGGTGTGGAGCAGATTAGATAGCGACACTAGGTAAGTGTGGATAAGCGTAGCGCGTAGAGACACGCAATCTCCCCGTTAAACCCAAACAAACACTGGGCCGGCAGGAGGGTCCCTTGCGCCCCTTTTCTTCTCTTTGCTAGTAGGTTCGGGGGACGACCCCGATTCAAGCCACGAAAATAAATGTTGGTGGACTTGTGGACAAGTAGGCAACAAAAACAGAACCTTGCATTGACGTCCGTAGTGACTGATGGTAGGCGCGCTGTGTGCGCGGAACGTGTGTGGCGGGAGCGTCGCGCGCGAACATGATAATGATGACCATAAAATTTTAGTTTTACAAGAGAAGTAAACTCTCAAAAAGGTGGAGAGAAGTTGAACCATAATCGGCCCACCTGGTCGTTGATAGAGGAACTCTTTGAAATCGTAGCCATTGACTAATAGTTCTCGTAAAAATGTATCCTAAGTATGTATTTGTCGTTGTCACCTAAATATCACATCAAGAAATGTAGAGGTAGTGGGTTTAACTTTAGACAGGGCTTTTTTGGACTACTTCTAGGACGATTCTTGACGACCACGAGGAGGCAGGGCCGTCGCTGGCTTTCATATGGTTCTGGCACCTGTTTGATGAAGAAGTGACGATAATTGTGACGAGGGATATGGTTAATTGTTGCGAATGATGTATCCTAGATACCATCGGTTGAGAGTAGGAGAGGACCAGAGCGTAAAGCGTTTGCCTCCGGGGTGAGAAGGCTTACGTGCTGATGGTCGTGTGAGAGTATCCAAAAATCTGCTACAAAGAGCGTTGAGAAGCGTTCTGAGCTGAGTCGTAGAGCGTCGAGTTTCGTTCCGTTTTGAGTCGTACGACTGTAGCGTGAGTGATCATTACTCGAATACAGTGTCGTCTGAGTGTCGAGATGTGAGAAACTATAGTCGTCATTTCTATTTGTGGAAGACCGATCGTCGGAGAGTCGAGGTGAGGAGAACTATAGCGGTCGTGGTGCCAGACGGTATATATCGAGGGAGGAGCCACAAGCCTCCCCTCGCGTCCGATACTGTATCAAATTCCCCTGCAGTACCCAACATTTTTAGGAGTAATCCCCCAAGTTAGGAACTGAATATTACAACTATTCTTATAGCTGAGCATGTCCTTCATGACTGTTGTTATTCTCCAGTATCATCAATCTTTCACAAATGCAAAAAGTTATAGCATGTGTAAAGATATTAGCTTACCAACTTTCATGGACGGCAGTTTTATAATGAGTTATCGTTGTGCACTTTTGGCTGTTCGGGCCGCGTCTCCTTTCAGCAAGATCCATGCATGATCTTATGGGTGCTAAATAGTCGGAGAGTTCTGCCGACCCCATCACCAACTTCGAATGACATCGTTGCTTTGATGATGTACATATATAGTGTTCATCTCCTAGATTCATTACGGATACGGTTAAGGTGCGCATAGATCGGAAGTTTTGAGAACTCGCGCTAGATTTTCTACAAGGCAGGCCACGCCCCTGTCTTCTCTTAGAATTCGCAAGTCCGGGCCACGACCCCGATTCAAGCCACGCTGATATATGTTGGTGGACTTGTAGACAAGTAGACAACAACAAAAAAAAAGCGAAAGCCGAGAATGTGAAAGAGTGAAAGATTCGTGATGGTGTGCCATCAGACATGACCGATCGGGCACTCTTAGTGCACGAAATTTGTTGAGCCTCTCGGCTTTGCGGGTTCCATAACCTCTGAACAACGCGGGCCAGGTTTGGACTACCCCGTCGTGCTTTTCTATCTCGAGACTTTCTAGGGCGCAAATAGATGAGCCTTTTTCGGATCCGCCAGGGCCTACGAAAGCTCAGAAGTGCGCATTCTCTTTATAGCCTCAATTGCACACATGCGTCTTATTAGACATGTATCCAGTTTCGTCTTGCTGGTAGACTAGTGTAGTCAATACTAAAGACACCACGATAATGATGTTTTAGATTTACGACGATTCGGATCATGAGAAAGATGAGAAGATTCTTTGCTCCTTCACTCGTTTTAAATCGAAGCAGGCGCGGCGCCAAGGTTCTGATCACTCGCGCGCGCCTTTTTTCGGGAGCGGCGGTGCGTCCTGCGAGAGTCGTCGGAAACGATGCGGAACCGTGCAAAAACAACCCTGACCACGATGGTTCGTCTTCAATTTGTCGAAGCGAACAAGGAACGCCGGATCTGCCTGTTTTCCATTCTAGGACCCTAGAAAAAGTCGCATCCGAAGCGGAAAGCAGCGCGGAGCTGCCTTCCTTCTCGTGCAGAAGTAGTGACACTGCGGCCGATTCGTTCTCGTCCACATCAAACAATGCAGTCTCATCCACCACAAAAAATGATGCCCGATCAGCAGAAATCGCTTTCGATCCTCCAACTTGCTTACGCCCAACACGGGGCATGCAGGAACGGAGCCGCTTAGAGCGTACGTTGTCGACCGGGGTGGTCAGCGTAGACGCTTTAGCGCCTATTGGACAGGGAGCGTCCATGCTCTGTGTCCATAGGAGCGCAACGGATGTGCGCGGTTTCACCAAACTGGTTGCCAAAGGGTGCTTTGAGAGCGGGAGCGTAGACGCCGTCCTTTCCGTTTCAAGTGTGGCTCGTGACTTGGGCCATCGAACGAGTGGAAGTGTTGATTTACGGCCATTATTCGAAAAATGAAAATTTTCCATCAAAACCAACGTGAATATTCGTGCCCACAGTATCAGCGTTCTACCTACACCCCAATAGTACCACTGTGTATAACTATAAGATGCAAAGTAAGCCTTGACATTAGAAAGAGTCTTGTGTATTACAAGTAGTTCTAGTATGTTGACCACTACAAGTTGTAAGAACTTTTTCGTTGTCCTACTCGCTTCATGTTGTGTGAGTCTTACCTTCCAGAGGAAGTTCGCTTTTATTTTGGGAAGCTAGGTCTAGCTCTAAGACTGGGTGGTGATGATGTTGCCGCTTCGTCATGGCGGTTGCTTGCACAAGCGGAAGCTATGGCCCAAGACGGGGAGAAGAATGTCTTGTGTATCCTCGACATGACTCCGTTTATTCAGATGTGGGAGCAGGGACAGGTACGTAGAACAAGGCTTGCGGAGAACACAACGTGTGCGCCCGGTGTCAATCCAGAGGAAGACGGAAATGAGCAACGAATGCCGCTAGCCTCCGGCGACAGCAGCACTTTCGAATAAGGCGATGCTCAACTGCGTGTTCTTGAATGAAGTAGCTAGATGTAGTGCAACTGAAAATGCAAGTCGATTACAACTGTAACTCCTATCATTTTTACAACAGAACAAAGACGCAAATAAATGCAACTCTGATGGGCATTGATTTTTGTCATTGTCAATGAGAGCAGGACGCTGATGTGGGACACTAGAATATTATTGACGACTAAGACGAGCGAAATTTCACTTAGTAAAACTAAGTACACGACAGCTATGCGGATGGCGCCGATTTGACGGCACCGCGAATGCCAGAACGAATGACGAACACGGAAATAAGCCACAGAATCCAAGGATATCACCAGTCCCTCTCGGCATCATTTTCCAGAGGCGGTTCCCGTCCGTTTGAAGCGCAATGGCGTAAAGCCGAGGCTCCCCCAGAGTGTCGACGTGGTTTCTTCAGCGAGGTCACGGAGCGGGCGGCGAATCTCAAAGGTGAAGGGAGTGTAAGTTTGCTGTTGACCGTAGATCGCGATGTCATCACGGATGAAAACTTAGTGCACGAATTGCAGAGCCTCACGGACGGGCACCTGCATTTCGGTGTTGGGTCGGCCGCGAACCGCTTCGATTGTCGCCGCAGTCTAACAAGATTTGGCCTCGGAGCGCACAACGCGCATTTGCGTAGAAATATGATTATGGGTGATGGTTTGTCCCGCCATGAAGCTAGTAGCACGAAATAGTGAACCATGACGATGAGTAGCGTTTTTCATCTTGAACACTGTATTTTGTTTTGATGCCTATCGGATCTCTTTTGTCCCCCACACTGATTTCAAAGACTATAGCTTCAATAAGACATGAACACTGGTGTCTTGCTGGTTTGAGCTTCCTACACCTTTGCATAGGCGATTAGCAATAAGGGATTAGCTTCTTCGTTGTATTAAAACATGTAGAACTTGATCCACTGATGTGGGGAGACTGACATCGTTAGTACAATGATAAATTGAATGGTGGACGTATAGCCATCGGCGTAGAGACGACGAGAAAGTGTTGCTGTGACGGTGCCTTATACATTGCTTCGTTTCCTCGTGTTAGTCCGTACGTCGACGAACGAACCTGGGGGATAGTGGAATCTGTCTAGTCTAGGACATCCTTTCATGCAATGCCCACTGACATTAACAAGATCTCCTTTCATACAGATGTTGCAAAAGATAGCGGGGCACTTACGTCTGCAGCTGGCCTCCGACGCAGACAACGTGGCGCGGCAGTTCTACTCCTCGACCAGAAAGCAAGGCAGCTTTGCAGAAGGCAAGGCGGTTTCGAGGCCAGCAGCTTGTAGGACTACCGATCACCTCTACGCAGAGGACAAACAGCCGAGTCCTCTTTCTCACGCAGATCACTCATCACCACTGCAACAAGGTCACCAAAACAGGATACCGCACAAGACCAGTGCGGAGGACGCAGATCAGACGCAGGCTAGGCTCATGGCGCAAGTCGTCGCGGCAGTAGAGGGCCAAGTTGTCGTAGCGGAAAGTGACATAAAAGTGAAAGGTGAAGAGACCGCGAAGTGGAGCAGTTCACCTGTGCCACTAGAGGAGCAACTCGTCTTACTGTTGTTATGCTTTTCAATATAAATAAGTTCAAGAATTTAGAATGTAGTTCTAGTATGTACTACAACGATAAAGAGAGTGGTACTTGAAGTAGTGTCTTACGCAACTACTCAAAAAAGTCCTACTAGTGCTACATTTATATTTCATCATAGGATAGAAAAATATGAGAAGGTGGAACCCCCTTGCCGCGATTCCGATTCTAGGAAGGCTCTGAGGCGTGCAAGAAGTAGACGAGGTAATCTTTTGTTTTACTGTTTCTGAAACAAACATTCACATCTAATTTTAGCAGCGAGTACGCACATTTTTCCGGACACTGACGTTTTTCGTGGCGGAAGGGAGTGCGCGTTTTTGCGTTACACACGGGAATTTGCGAAGCCAATGTTGACACGGCTCCGCGACACAGTCATAGAGGAAAATCAGATGCCCGATCAAGAACTGTCCCTCATGCTCGCCAAAAACGCAGAGCTTTTCTCGATATTTACTTCAAGGACTAAGGGTTACTAGTGTTGTGCCCTTGTTTTTTAACTCGACAACAGTTCTGCGTGACGAAACAACAAGTCCTCTGAGTCTGATGTGATGAATGCAAGAATCGAAGTGTTGCTACTGTGTGTCTATCATGCTGGAAAATGGAAATGCTATTTGTCCATATATTTACACTGAAGCTTGCAGTGCAACTGCAAGAGGTACGGCAGTAGCAGCTGCGGGTAAGGAGGTTAATGTACTCCACCCGTCGCCGGCAGGTACACCGGACAACACTGGGGTCACCCTTTCGGCGTTCTCGGAATACAAAAAAAAAAGAAATCGGTGCCTTGTTGAGGCAATCTGATTGATTGACTGATTGAGCAGTGCAACTGCAAGAAGATGAAGATGCTTCGCAGAAGATACATCTTCTTGCTCGCAATTTTTTTGATGAGCACCTGCACGATATTCGATGAATATGAACCCTGCGCCGTAGCAACATGCTACTCGTTACAGTGGGTTTATCCGTGTGTGCACTGATGATCCCTCCACAAATTGCTGCATCTTTCGCGAGAAATTCATGTCCGTCCATGATTGATTGTGAGATGAATCTTGAAATTTCCAAAAAATCGGTGAAAACCTAATAGGGTGCACACATCCAGGGCGCACCCATCTGCATGTGGAGGAGCAAAGCGAAAGTTGGCCTCTTCAAGAGATGTTTGGATGCGTTGAATATTCAATGCTTTGAACTTGTTTGATAATCTTTCGTCTGTCCAAGAAAGCTTCTAGACACCTGTCGAACTAAAAAATTCTATTCTTTTTCCGTCCAGTCTTGCACCATTATTAAGCGGCTCCTAAGGCCTCCGGATCCGGATACGAAATGCCATGAAACGAGGCTCCCTCACAAAACGTGACTACACCCGATTGCTCGAGCGATTATCTCTGAAGCTTTCACTTGTTCTTCTCACACTTTCTAAAATGTTACAGCTGATAGAAGATGTAGAATGAGAAAACATTTGATGTGTACGTAAAAGTAACACGCTGCCACTCTATTGATGTAGATCTGTTTCCATTATTTGATGACGGCTAAGATTGTAAGTAAGCGCTTTCGGTATCCATTCCTTTCTGGTTCTTTACGAGAAGTTTGAGAAGATTACATACACGAATATTGTGAAAAATTTCAACTCTGAGTACATTGTACATTAACACTATCTAGTACTACTACTGCCTTATCGATCGCGCATTGCCACGTCTATACTCGGATGGCTCGTAAGTCACGCAGGCACGTTTGGTTGACCGACGAATGAGTGAACGGATTAACGCTGATTTATTTTCCTTCCACCCCAGGAAAAAGGAAAATATAGAATTGAAAGGAAGATTAATTGAGAATTGAAAGAAAGATATTGATATTGAATACATCAATCAATCGATATAGCTTTGAAAAAATAGAAGTTTTCAGGTTCTCGATTTCTTTGAAGAGAAAAAATGGAAATTTATCGCTGTCCCGGTCTGTATCGTGGGGGAGCACTCTTCTTGGTCCTCGTGCCTCTGCTTGCTGTAGGTTTGCGCCCGGCATTCTGGAGCAGACCACGGTCTGAAAACGCTAGGCCTTTCGTGTTGCGAGGGTATGAGCAGGGATCCTCAGGCAGCGGATCTTCTTCCTCGGGCAACGGGGCCAATGCTGAACATCAGAAAAGTACAACCAATATGACAGGAAAGGCGACTAATGCACATATATTCAAAGAAGTACTACTAAAAAAACTGGGTACAACTACTGACGTTGAAAAAGTAGATTTTAGTTTAGCAAGTACATACTGCCGCCGCCTAGAATTTGGACTACTGAATTATTTACCAACAACTGGTGTTATAGGACAAATTTGAGTACTGAATGAGTCCTAAAGATACTATTTTTTGTCGTATGATTTCACGTCAAGACCAACGCTTATACTAGTCGATATTCGTTATCGTTGTATTGCTAGTTATTCTATTCACGCTACAAGAGGTATTCTTGAATTAACTGGTAAGTAGCTTTTCTCGGCACAACTTTCAACGTTAATATTGTGTTCCATACCAACCTAACCTAACCTTAGGCGCGCAGCACTTGGCTGCAAAGCGTGTGGCAGAGGAACTCTTAGGGCCGCTGGCCGTCCATCTCGATGCGAACTTGAAAATTGAAAGTCTTGAGCATATCCACGCCTACTCAGATAGTGGCTCCTATTGCTCGCCTTGCAGTCTGCCGGCTCTCTCGCTAAGGAACCGTCACGAGGAAATGTACCGGTGGCGCTGGGTTCGGGGAATGGCACCTAGGACAATCGAGATGCAGGACCGAGCAGCTGGAAGAACAGGAACCGCTACAGCAGGGGCACAAGGAGGAGAATACGAGATGCAAACTGCTGCGGGTGGCGCGCAAGGAGGAGAAGACGAGATGCAAACTGCTGCGGACGGTGCGCAAGGAGGAGCGTCGCAGATACCAACTGCTACAGAAGAGATAGATGAAGAACCCAGCGGGAGGCATGGCGAACCTGGTGAGATGCAAAACGAAGAATGTGTCAGATTGCAGGCTACGCGAATCAACATGAGGGAGGGTGAAACCGTGACAGATACTTCTGCGGTGCAAGAAACAGCGGGCGAACGGGAAGAAGAAGACGCAACAACAGATCGCACGCCAGTACAAACAGAAAATACCCAAGGAATAGGTTGTGACGAGAATATGGAACAACGTGAGGGATCTGGTGCTAACACGCGAACGACAACAATTAGGGGCAACGACGTAAATGACCCATCTTTTGCTGCTTACATCTTTTTTGGCTACCCCTTGGAAATGGCTGAAAGAGATGCATCGAGCGAAAGACGGGCTCTTGCTGCGTCTCGCTAAATCAAGAATGTTTCTCCCCACAACGCCGGAGGTGGAAGAAACAGCTCAACAAAACACCTGTGATAGCATGGACGCAGAAACCCGTGCGCCAAAGAGCTCTGGCGGTATGGACGCAGAGACGCCTCTACATTAAGGGTAGTCGATCATTCTCATCTCGCGTGGTCTATCCTGAGTTGGGTTCGCCACGATTTCATGGGAAATTCAGTGCAAAGAAAGCAACTCACTCAGCCACGGAGAATGGCCGACCATTTCTAACTAGAAGATAGACCACGAGGAGAACAAAGAGCTTCAGCAAGAGTAAGCCCGTCCACAGGGAGATCCCGTCCACAACCGAAGCCGCGTGCTCCTCCACCCAGACCAAAGGCGTCTTCAAACTTTCGCTCGTACGCGACCGGGGTGACGGCTGAGGAGGTATACTCGACGGTTGTGTCGATGCTGCTCTCGTATCAGTCCTTGGACTTTGGGCTACAAGCGAGCACGACTTCGGCACATCGTGTCGTGGGGTTTCAAACACTCGGGAAAGAAATTGTCGATGAAAATCGAGAGAGAGGCAAAGCTCCGACCCACGCCGGCTCGCAGCGACTCCTTATGCAGGCGCTGCACCGAGTTCGTCGACTACAACACCTGCTGGCCTTTCAAGCGACCGCTTGTCGTGGTCACGATGTCGATGGAGAGGCAAGCAGGGACCTTGCAAGTGCAGACGAGGAAAGATTTTTCAAGGAGCAGGAGTGGTGGAAGGCTATGGAGGAAAAGCGAGCAGGGTCGGGCTTCCTTGACAACCCGAGGTTGGTCGGAGCCGTTTGCTACGGTGTTTACAACGGAAAACGTCTCGGGACACCCATTTCCACGAGTAATTGCAATTTCCACGAGGATTCCCACCCTTCGGGAAGCAATCAGGGTCCGATTCTCCACGCAGAGCCACCTGCGCAGGTCGAGATGAGCGATGATGTCTTAAGGCTACACATAATCCATCTAGATACTTATTTGCTGTAGTGTAACTGTAAGTGTAATGTTGTAATGAATGTTGTTCAACCTTTGACGAGGACACGAGCATTTCATAAATCATCTGGACTTGCCTCAACGTTGGCTCCGCAAAAAAATGTCAACATACGACAAAAAGATGGAGAATTATGTGTGGTGGGCTCCAACTCTCGTCATGGCTGTCCACGGGCAGCAAGATGCTAGCCAAGGTGCTACCCAGGATGCTACCATAGCCCACGGTGGAGACCCGAGCTCTACAGCAGGCGACGTTTTTCGCGGCTCAGAGCCATGCTCCACTCCTGACAGGTCCAGTTAAGGTCAGGCTTCAAAGTGATAACCCACAAAAATGATGGGGCCATCTTTCTTTAGTTACTCGTCCCTGAAGAAATAAGTTGTAAAGTGACGCCTAACTACTGAAAGTTGTAGACTCATCAAGCATTATTTATGAGAGATGAACATGATGGTCGTGCGATGGAGCTATGACTTTTTGTCGATTTCTGCAACACGCCTACGATAGATGTTTCAGCTTTTCAAAGCACTCAGTAGGAGGTATGTAACAGCCGGAATTCCTCTAACATGGTGCTACGGATGAAAAGTTGTCGCGAGCACGCTTTCACGTTGTTGTGCCGTGGCTGCTAGATCTCTACCGTCGCTACCCAGAACATAGTATTCGGAGGCCTTGGGGACAGGTAACTAAATCATACATCATAAGTATCAGAAGTTCCCTTTTCTTATAGGTGCTTTATTGATATGGTCTTGTATAATCACTCTAGGTCTAGCAGAATTCTCATGCGTGAACGTGGTTTTTTTCAAGATTATATACCGAAAACCAGGAATGGAATATCGCTAGCAATTAGATATTCTAATACTACTTCAATGATACAACAACTAGTCGTTTTCGTCGAGTCATTTGTGCGATCCCTGCGCAACCATCATGCGGGAGGGGTTGAACCCAGACATTCCAATTTTTGCTGCTCGTAACGAGCCGCTAGTATGGCCTGGTAGTGGGGCGCTGCTTGATAATGTGGGCTACATGCCGGTGGGACTCGACACTGTGGAGGGAATCGACAGTTCCGATCTGACGGTGGGACTCGACAGTTCCGAGCACGATACTTTAAGGCTGGAACAGCTCAGGCACGTTTAATGAACATTTAGCACAACACAGGGAAATATATTCATGCTCTAACCCTGCTTGTTGACCTAGAAGTTATCGTTTTCGGTCTTACTTAAGTGTCATACTGTTACCTCAAGTCGAGCATGCTATATTCATGCTATATGATTACAGCAGGTTAAGGAATAGATGTTATCCGTCCTTCGCGTCCGCGTGCCGCCCTATTGTATGCTACATTTCTTCCGTATAGTTGTATTCGTCTTCACACCCGGTGGTCGAACAGTTTACGAGTCAGTACAATCTTCTGTGCCGTAGCTGTAGAGGTACAGATGTCTACAGGACTTCTCGACATCGACTGTCTACTTATGTAGTACATGCAGGATGCGATAGTAAGCATTTTGATAGGTGTACATCTCTAGCATGTTCAAGCACTGAGTTCTCTGCTTCGCAGCTTACTTCGTACTGATATGCTCCAACGAGGTCACTGATCTAGAGCACTTGAGTGTAATATTGCTTCTCAGGGCTCTACGTAGGCGACTATGTAAAGTTGCAACCGGAGCCATAAGATGACATGATACGATCTGAAGACAGAGCGTTTCAATTTGACTTAGTTCGTTTACATAGCGAATCCAGTTCGACAGATCTAAGTAGTGAGGTTTCTGCGACGCGAATTGAGGACCTTCCTGGAGTTGTGGATCTTCCTGGATTTCCGAATGTCGACTTTTCCAGTGATCGTGCGGAGTCGCGTTGGAGGCCACTACTCGAGGATCGAAGCTACGATGGAAGCTACGAACGCAATTCAGAAGCCGATCGATCGCAGAGCAGGAGACCGGAGGTGGAGCTCTCAGACGCGGAATTTCACAGGTTGCGACCAGTTCTGATAGCGGTGCTAAACGAAGTAGAAAGCTTTCTGCTGTTTCGCTTGTTTTTAAGCACGGGACTTAGATGTCCGTAGAATGTACTGCCTCACTGAGTGGCCTCGTATATAGATACGAAAGGGTATGAAAGAGGTCCCTTGACACGATATACCCCTACATCATGTCATCGTCGTTGGCTAAATTTTTCCATTCATCACGATCATTTGGCAACCTACTAAGGGAGTAGTAGATTCTCGTAGTAAACCAGAGTAACTAACAAGGGAGTAGTAAACCATGCATGGTAAACATCAATAGTACATTATAACATTGTTCGTGGATCAAGTTATAACTTGAAAGAGAAGAAGTCTACAAGGACATCTATCACTCCTAAGGGAGATGCCAAGGCGGTAGCTCTAATGTTTGGACAGAGTACGATCGGCGGTAAGCGAATTTGGGGCGACGATTGTTGCTGCTGTGGTCGAGTCGGTTGTCATGCGGTACTTTTTCCCCTTTTTTTGATTTGCGCTTGGTACCATCAACTAAAACAAAGGGACCTACAAGAATAACAACGCCTCGTCTAGGTGCTGGTATGCTAACCAGTGTTAGATTTCATGGAATGGAATGAAAACCTCTTGGCCGCGATTTTTGTGAAAGCCTTGTTTTCTTCGTTCCAATGTTTATGTCCAGCGTAGGTAAACTGTTTCTTTCTGAAGAAGATTTTTGACATGGGATGATTGAAATGTTAAGTAGAAGCTCACTAGTCGCACGCACATGACAACACATGCACATCTTTCAGGGACTAGGATCTGACGCACCTCCGTGTGAAGTGGTGAACACTCTTTGCTGTCTCGCTGTCTCTCGACCGACGCTAAGTTTTAAGACGGTAAATGGATACATTCTCACTCCTTAGTTATCGTGTGTTGACGTGCTTTATATTAGAGGTGTATACTGACCTGTAATTTCCATCGTTGTGATGATGATGGTGGATGTGGGATTTTTTTTTCTAATCAGCTCGGGGGCTGTCCGTGGGATTGGATTTTCACCGGCCAGAGTGCTTCCTGCCAACCAGCATATTAAGGCAAGCAAGCGAGCATCCTCAGCGTCATCCTTGGCGATTTTCGTCGTTGAATCTGTTGCGCCTAGTTTGCAGTGCAGGAGAACTGTCTGAGACGCCAGCAGGATGATGGCCAAGGATGTCGTCAGGGTTGCAAGCGCGATTGTAGCTCTAAGTATATTACCTTTATGGGGCCTGCATTGGCGGGTCGTTTCACGGCTGCCACACCTACGCCATTCAGGACCGTCTGTGGCCGCGCTTAGTGGTTGCGATGCGGCACAGGGAAATGCTCGCATCAAGAATTTTCACGGCTTCTTAGACAGCCTATCGATGCCGAAAAGAAGAAGGTCGGAGGAGAGATGAAGAAGATTATCTTCTTCTGGCGTGGGGTACTATCGCATCGACTGGCTCTACGAATAAGAAGTGATGTCGGCTAGTATTGAAGACTTATTAAATAATGTGGTTATACAAGAGCCGCCCGGTTTCACGACACGACGGTCGCATGTGTGCCTGTGTTTTCTCGTCCTGATGTAAGCATTCTTCTCAGTGGTCGTCGGACTTGGGAGCGTGCTGCACAACTCGATCGAAATAGTGTGTAGTTGTCAAGAAGAAATGACTATCTACCTTGATTAAGGAATTCTTGCACGTGCGCGTGGGAGCGAATCCCTCTACTACATTTTTGTGTCTGGCTGCTTGAAGCGGGAAGCAGCTGCCCTTGTCCCTCATCGTATAATATTTATACTACACATTTTTGTATGAAGATTCAGGACTCCTGCGCGTTCTAGTTGTTTCACGGCGGGGTACTTATGCATAATTTGATCTTATATTACAGCCTTTGGGAAGCTGTTGATACACGAACCTTTTTTGTGTATCTAAAATATACTAGATCATCATAGTACTCAGTTGGCGCGTGCTGGAAGATGCTTCTTGATCGAAGCGGATTATATAGATGAATTTATCTAGTCCATTTGAAAGACATCCAAATTTCTCGCAGCTGAGATTCTCTGCTGGTGTTTGATTGAAGGAAAAAATGTTTTAACGAGAAGCAAGGCCAACCTGTGAAACGAGACGAAGACAAGTATGTGGTTATGCTGGGCTTTAGTTTCTACCCTCTCATAACTACGTCATCATAGGTGGTAGAGGAGGCATTGATAAAAATATGAGTACTTAATCGCCTGTCATGCGTCGTTTCTTGTAAAATCTAAATGTACAACAACACTACTACATTATTAGAGAAAAAGGTTTTAGATTCTCCTACTGTCAGTATCTACGTGGTGCAGGTTGGAGCTGGTATCAAAAATGCAACAACACACATAAAGACTTAGCTGCAAAGTAGACGGATGAGGTGATAGAATTTCACTTCTTTCATTCTTGCCATGATTTACTGGTAACACAAGTAGATCAAGGACTATGATTCGTATTTGCGCTGGATTGCGCGACGCGGCTGCGGAGGGCACCCACTGATGCAGGTGGGACCGTCCGGCTTCTTTGGTGATCACGAATGACCAGATATCAATACAGAGCCACTTATATGCTGGCTCGTGTTCCTCTCTTCTGAAGTTTGGCCGCTTTTCCGGAGAGATTGATTGTGCTACGGGACTCAAATATAAGTTTTTTTTCAAACGAACGAAAGGGACAGATCTACAATATTTTCTCTTAGAGATCGCTTCACGTGCTATGTGATGGTGAAAAAACAGACGAAAGGCATGAGTGTGAAAAAGCCATGATGCTTCTTTCGATTTTTTGAGTGGTGTGACATTCATCCGCGCGGTCCATCGGCTTTACTTCTGTAAGAAAATATCAAACATCATACCCAATATCTCAAGTCAGACAACATCAAAAAAATGGATAGTGGGTCGCCCGTCTCGGCTTCATCAGCGGACACAGCCTCCGAATCGGAAAATCCAGGTGCGTTCGGGACAGGAGCAAGCGGGCCAGTTTTATCTCTAACACCTTCTCTATTATGACTATGGGTCTCAACGACAGCGAGGAGTCACAAGGTAGACGTACAAGTATCTTCTGCAGGTTGCTCGTGCAGCATCTTGCTAGCCGCGTGCTTGCGATGTTGATGTTCTTCTTCTTTCTCAACAAATTTTTTTCGCCTGGCGCAGTTTGTTCCAGTTGCAGTCGGTGCCTATTAAAGCCATTGATGGAGTGGGATAAAATTCATTACTCATAATCCGAAGAGGGATCTTAGGAATACGACCATTCAATCACTACTACCTCTAAGTATTTCAAATGAAACCGGCGAGGTGCCTGCGGCGCCTTATTCCCGACGTGCGTCGCGAACGATTCACATAGGCAATTACGTTGATGGCGGCTTGGTTCGCCGCGAATCGAATTGTGATCTGATGAAAAATTTAGGAGATGCTGGCAGTAGCGCTGGTGACGGCACTGGAGTCGATACCAAACTCTTAGAAAAAGATGCAGATATTACGCTAAGAATTTTGGATGAATCGACCCATTGATTTTTTTCGACTGTAGATCCTCGTGCACAGATCGATGTATAGACTTTCACGGATCCTTCCTTGATTTTCACGGATCCTTACGTATATCCTGTTTAGAGAGACTCTTAGAACTTAAGCGTAGTTAGTGTTTCATCACAGATCTGCTTTTCCTTGGTGACAGTGGTTGCAAGTCTGACTATTTTTGCAAACTGATAGGCGTGTTGTCCTTGTCTGGCAGTGTGTCTCCCGAAGTGAGGATGACACCAACGAACGAACTACTCTTTTAATAATTGCCGCGTGAATCAGAAAGCAGGGAAATCGTGCGACCAGTCCGATGCCGCTACACTTGGAAATAAGATTTATTGCAGGAAATGAATATCCTCTTCAATCTTCCCAGCGTGCGCTAAAAATGACCACAGGATGAAGCACCTTCAGGTGCATCTTTAGGACGCTTGCTCTAAAGATTAAAATTACAGCAAGATGAACAAGCAGCGTACGGTGGATGTCAACAAAAACGCGGAACTGAACCCTTTGATGACGTGCTCACCCTGGTTCAAGGCCAAATCCAGATTATGATTCGCAATAATTCTGATTCATTACCTCACAGATTCAGATATCTTCTATCTACTTAATCCTGGAAGTAAAGTTTGTTGAAAATACGTAATGTTCTTGAGCCTAGTAAATGTTGTGAACGCGAACGGCAAGGAATAAGGATGTTCTGATTAGTCTGTCTATGCCCGGGATGATGGTTTCAGCTCATTTTTATCGGCACGACTTTTCTCACGCTTGCTTGAATGATATTCACTGTGAGCTCTAACCTAGAGGCCGCAGTTTTCATGCGGATAGATCCGGAGGTGTTTGAAATCCTGAGGCATCCGAAAAATCAGATTACCATAAATTTTCCAGTCAAGCTAGGCTCCGGCGCACTAAAAATGTTTACGGGATTCCGCGTTCAGCACAACGATTTGCTCGGTAAGAGCGTACGATGATTTTGATTTATTTAACAAGGAAGGACTGTATCGTCCCGCCGGTAGTCGAGGAGTAGTACTCGGGATGCCAATCAATCAAAACAGCAACGAAGAGCATCTACATCAGCATAAGTACACAATAGACTGATATTTGGTCTTCATGTGTTTTCCTTTTCATCAAAAGGAGGACGTTCTCACCAGGTCCCTGCAAGGGAGGATTGCGCTTTCACCCAGAAGTCGGAATGGAGGACGCGATAGCGCTAGCGCAATGGATGACCATAAAGTGCTCTCTTCAAGATCTACCGTTTGGCGGCGCAAAGGGAGGACTTTCTCTCGATGTCAAAGATTTTTCCAAGTATGAAAGGCCTGACTAGTACTAGTACTACTTACTTAAGCAGTAGTAGATTGCATTAGTCCCGCTTTTTGTTTTTTCTAGGTAGGCTGGCTCCACCACTGTATGAATTAGAAACTGAACATCAAGGACTAGTCCTACTGAAAAAAGCTACGGAGGTACTGAAAAAGGCTTTCAAACAAGAATAGGAAGCATATACTTGATTATTCGAGCTCGTCCCTGCATAGATTATACCATTTCTCATTCATCAGCTAGACCAGCTTGTAGTGTTGTAAAAACAACATGCCACCTCTTGCAATAAAAGGACAGTAGGTAATATGAAGCCCACGACTCTACGGGATGCGTTTTGGTCTCAACATCCCCACTATTTTTCATACCATAGAAGAACTGGAGGAGATATCACGGAGCTTCTGTCGTGGTCTGTACCCGTACATCGGAAATAACAAGGATATTCCCGCACCCGATGTAGGCACGAACGCACAGGTCATGGTTATGAGGATACAACAATTTTCACTTTATCGTAAGAACAGAACATACCGCTCCCAGTGGAAATAGAACCGGGAAGAACACACCACATGATAGGCAGTTGTTAAATTAGAGCACGATTGACTTGAAAAATATTCGTAAATGTAGTCTAGGAGATGTTCTCAAAAGGCGAGTTGTTGCTGACACATCCATTCTAACGAGGACTGGATGATGGATGAGTATAACAAAGTAAGCGGCAGTGCCAGTATTACGACTTGCAACATGAAAAGCGTTTTTACCGGCAAAAGTCTAGAGTTATGATTTTAGCAGATGAATTCAGATCCCAAGAATGATTGAAGGCTGAAATACGGAAATTGAGAGTTCTTCATCTAGAAGAAAATGGCAGCAGCGGCTGCGTCTGCGGCATTTCAGCCAATATTTAAGTTCGCTTCAACCCCTAAGCCATCTATGGGGCCTTTTGTAGTAGTTGACGAGCATCCTTAATAATTTCAAGCTGCTGGCGTTCCTTCCTTTTGATTTCTTTTCTTGATTACAACAATACATTAACTTTTTTTTCTAATTCACTGTGGAGGGAGCGAGTGCCGAGAAGAAGCTACGGGCAGAGGTGTAGCACTATGCATTCGTGAATGGGCCAAGATCAACGGGTTTGACCTGAAGGGGAAAACCTACATTTTACAAGGCTTCGGAAACGTCGGCTCTCACACGGCAGCCATTCTCTCAACCTTATGACAACATGAAACGGATATTATCTAGCATTTAAGGGTAGTTTTTTTCTATATGAGTTCGTTGTACTGCTCCGTCCTTGAACCAAAAAATAGCGTTTAAGAGGCGCAAGATGAACTATCCTTTGCGCAAACATGAGTAACGCTTCTAATAGTTTATGGGATGGTGCTCATCGGAGTGGGAGATCACACAGGATATCTTTATTCGCGTGAAGGGTTTAACGTTTTCAAACTCAAAGCCTTTGTGGAGGAGCACCGCACGCTCCAAGGGTATCTATTCGAGTTTTGAATTCGCTATGGTATTGGGGAAACGCTCCTTCTCTTCTTCTTGTCGTTTTTCTTGTTGTTCGTTTCTGTCTGTCGTGATTGGAGGTTGTGCATCATCTACCCCCCTTACACGTATACTTAGATACAGTCGCGACCTCGAGGGTTTTGGCATACAAAAGATCGCGTCACGAAAAGAGTTTTTCGGCATCCCTTGTGATGTTGTTATTCCTGCAGCACTGCAATTACAAATTCTCGAAGAGGAAGCTGCCGCGTTGGATTGTAAATTTTACGGCGCCAACTTCTGGAGATGTTGTAGTGTTATTTCAGGTCTTGATTCTACGAGTCGATATTTTTCACCGCAACCGGACGTTTTTTGACTGGGTTTCCTTTGGTGTTTCAAGTACATGTCATCCGTCGTAGTTAAGTATTAGTCTGGGCCGAGTAATACCGATGAACATAACCGTAAGTAGAAGATCCGAAAATGATCGATCTTGGAAAACTTGTACCACAGATGGAATGTTCTTCTTCTAAGTATCAGTGGTGGAGGCTGCGAACGGACCAATAAGCGGTCCTGCAGAAGACATTTTAGAAAGAAAACAGATCTGCATTATACCAGGTACTTGCATTATACCTGGTAAAGTATTGACACTGCTATAGGTGCTAACAATTACCTCGTAATATCTCCAGTGTATTTCATTTCGTTTTCGTTTGAAAGATATGCTACAGACATAGATACTTTGTGTGTTTCTTCTTTAGCGCCTCAAAGAAATGTAAAGCCTCTTTCCTCGTCTGACTCTATGTCCATCCTTTGAGTGACTCCATTTCGCGTCTCGCAGATATTTTAGCGAATAGCGGCGGCGTGGTGGTATCATACTACGAATGGATTCAGAACAAACAAGACTGGTTTTGGGGCGAGGATCACGTCCGAACGAAACTGACCGAGAAGATGACCGAAACCTATCAAAAGGTGCATCAACTTTCGCAAGTTCGCAAATGCTCACTACGGATGGCTAGCTACGTCTACGCCCTCGGACGATTGGAAAAGGTCTACAGAAAGCGTGGCAAGTTTCGATAAGAAGTGTAGTGTCTACAATCCACAATTTTGATAGCTTATTTTTAGTCTCAATAGCACTTAACAATATGACGTAAAATATATTACTGGTAAAGCGACCAGTGTGTAGTTTCTTCTACATAAGTAGTTACATGATGGTATTGGTACTCCAGCTCGAGAAAGAACCCAAGAAGAACTCTATGAAGAGCTACTGACTTTCAATGCACAAACCCACTAGAGACACGATGTTGTTGGTTGAACCAACTACTTTGAAATTTGAAGAATCTAGAGGTCATTATCCTGATTGCAAAGAAAAAACTCATACAAAAGCTGATACAGAGCAAAGAAAGGAATTTGTTTAAGGTACGCTGACTCTAGAAACAAACACAGTAACTCAACAGCTGGGTCTGATAACAAAGCTTGACGAGCAAGTCCTCGCATTTTGAAATTTTGTTTCTGTTTGTGTGATGCAGGTCGCTTCACCCGAGTTGCCACATACTTACCAATGATGTGCATTGACTGTTTTTGGGCGCAATTCTGGCAGTTTTGACCGATGAATTCGAACTTTTCCCAGCCTTTTTGTTGTGCCACCAGTCATATGAAATATATTTCTCAATCATGCATCGATGGAAGGATGATACGAACGATGCTGCTGTTCTTCGACACAAGTCAGAAACTAGTTTGCGGGTACGTATTTGCTTCGCTGTTCGCAAGCTGATTATGTGAAATAATTGGTAAACAGCATGATGCTAAAAATGCACAACGCTTATCCCGTAGATGAGAGAACATCGACTGGGTGACCTATTAATTCACAGGCGATTCGTATTTTATTCAACAAAAACGTCAACGTGGGATGAGTGTCAATGTTCAAGCAACATCTGGACAGTTTCGGTTTTAGCAAGGTGAAAAATGAGGATCGTCGTAGCAGGTTGCTGTTTGTTGAAAGAGAACTAGGCGTTTTTGTTCTAGGAAATGTAGAATATGGATCGGCTCGCCAAGCGACGACGAGGAGCTGCACACGGTGGCGGCAATGTTGGCACTAGTACTAGTAGCTCCAGCAGTGCAAGTACTGACTTCCCCGGCGTTGGGGGGCTTCCAATGGCCGGCCAACAGCATCCGCTTTTTTTTCGAGGTTTTCCTTCGACGACGGTTCCGCCTTGGACACCAATGCACAACGTGATGGGGGGTGCTGCAGGACTACACACGAGCACAAACTTTGCCGCGGATGATCAAAATACCACCCTGCTAAGGGGAGCGGGGATGACGCAGTTCGGCGGGGCGTCTTCATCGAGTGCGACATTCTTCCCAGGAAGTGCTGGGTTTGCGATGCCGCAGCAACCACCTGCTGCAGGTCCCGTGATGTCGAGCGTCAACACGAATACTGCTGCTTTTCCTATCGGATCTCATGATCCACGACACACATTTACATTTCGCCAGCAGAGTAGTGGTAGTCGGGGACATCTTTCGCACCTTCAGCAACAACACACTATTCCTGGTAGTCACAACGTGTTCGAAGGAGTCCTTTCGCATCCTTCGCAACAAGTGGCGCAGGGAACGAACCAGGACAAGCTTCCTACTTCTGTTGCAAGTGGAGGAGGAGGAAACTCCTCGGGAACATATTCGAGTAGCAACCTTCTGAGAGGACGACCCGTTGCGCCAATAGTTGTCTCGAAAAAGTATAAGAACGCCCCAGCAGGACCGCTAATGCGCATGATGAGGTCGGAGAGGTCACACAACAATCTTGCGCGTAAAAGTTCGTCACTCAGCACTGGTGTAAAAAAAGCACGAAGTGCAACATCAACAAGTAAGGTTTCAACAGTAAGAAAAACAAAACTATCGGCTGTTTTGCCAAGGAGGCGCCGCCGTCGCGGCCGGATGAGAACGGCATCTGCTAGTCGGTCAGACTGTTCAGCACTAGCAAGTAGTTCCCACACCTCTACTACCTCGCGGTCGTCAAAGCTGCAAAGGGGGCGAGCTTCAGACCAACATCACCTGAGCAATTCTGATTGGAAGGCAATGGGCTCCTCACAGCGTACAGCTAAAAGTAGAAGAAGCGCAAACCTTCTCGGTTCTCCACAAGCGCTACGGTCATGGAAAGGCAACCCTGTTTATCCCGGATCCCAGCTACCACCGTATCTAGGGAAGTTTTATCAAGCAGATGTATCTGGCAAGCAATGTCTTCGAAGGACGCCGTTTGCCCGTGACGCTGTCTTATACTACAACTTGCGCACTCCAGAGCACTTTTGGCGGCTTCAAGATCACCGTGTCCTGCCAGAAATTTGGTGGAAGTGGCTACGGTAATGCTTATTCTGGCTACTCGAGGGATTTCACATGTTTGAAATGTTCTTCTTCCAATTTCTTGTTCTTCAACATGATGATGATGTTGACCACAACACGACTGTGAGGCAAGTTGGACTCCAGGGTATCTATTTAGTAGTTGATGGTAACAACAACAATGATAAATTTCGTGAATGTTGTATATGTATTCAGTTCTTTCTTCCACCTTCCACAGGGGCGCATGCCGGAAATCGCACCGCCCAGAAGTATTACCCTGTCCGCCTTCGCTTGTTCCCCCAATTGCTGTACGCCGCCGCTCGCCGAATGCCGTTGCCGCGAACGAAGTTCATGAGGTGGTCAAAATTCTTACGACGATCTGGTCCCGAAGTGGAAACTACAAATCGAGCCCTGGCAAGTATGTATAGTTCCTAGCTGTATTTGTATTTTTTGCAGGACTTTTTCTTTGTGCGAAGATCATTTTCGATTTTCAACGACAATCATTTTTCGTAGCTATTGGAATTTACAATTTCCTTGTGTCCAAGACAAAGTAAAACTACGTGAGACTGCTATGCTGTTTTTTGACTCACAGAAGCATTCATCATGATGCCCAACTCCACTGACAGAAGACTGTTGGTTTTCAAAGTTTAAGTTTCTCCTCCCCGCAGCGAAGTTGATAATTATGAATCATCGTTTGTAGTTCTACAACAGGTTCTTTCAAGCAGCTTTCGGACCTTTGTGGGAAAGCATCTGGCATGACGCATCGGCAGGCAGACATATCGCGCATCGGCAATGGCTCGATTGTCGGCTTGCGTCGATCGGAGTCGTCCCCCAGTTACTCAACGATGGAGTCTCCGCGGTCCAAAACAACGCTCCCCTAATCGAATTGGATGTGCTTCTACGATCGCCAGCCAGACTTTTCATGCACGTCCTCCGTGGCGGACCACAGATTCGCGATGCTGTTGAGCAGAGCACAACAAGTCCGGTCATAAAGATGACGGGGAACAGTTGTTCTGCACAACGAGAACTGATCGAGGTGGAGGTGGATTCTCCTGTTGGGAGCTCGTCAGGAATTCAATGCGGAACCAACGGACGATGTGGAGCAAAGACAGGCTCGGGAGATGCGGAAGCGGCACCAGACAGGCGTGAGGAGGTGGTCTGGCAGTGCTTGTCAACGCTGAGCCGTGGGAAGTTGACAAGGGACGCTTGCAGTGCTGAAGCGCAGAACCGCGTTGCACTGCTCTCAAGAAGAGTAGTGTTTCCCAAGTCGACACGACCGAGTTCAGAGCAGCAGCCATTAGAGCAGCCTCGCACAAGCACAAGGAAGGATCGAACGCCGCCTCAAGTGGTGCCTCAGGGGACGGACGACGCACCTGAAACAGTAGATCCACCAGGGTTCGCACAGCAGTGGATTCTTGTTCGCCGGATGGAAGCACAGAAGCCTTCGACTCTCAAGGCTAGCACGAGTGCTAGATATCCGGTGTTGCGAGACTCTACCGGTTGCCCGGTCTCGCTTGGCGAGTTATCGCAAAGAGAATCGATTGTGCGCGCAAATAGGAGCACACGACTTGTTTCGTCTGAAGAAAGCTGCGGAGTATCAAATAAACTCAGGGTCGATTCCTCGTCACGACTACCATCGTCCTCGTTGCAACTGTGGGGTCCCGTCGTCAGTCGTTGGCAGCAACGTACTGGGGCTCGGTACTTTTGGCGGCATGTAACACGGCGATACAAAGTCTACGAACGGCGTGGCAGACGGCGCGTACTGCGATTGAAGACAGGTGCCGATCTCTTCTGGGGCGCGCGAGCTCGGATACAGAACTCTCACAGATCATGTGGGCCAATCCCCCGTCGCGTAAAAAATGTAGAAGATAACGGCGAGCACCCTGGCGCGCTAACATCAGCATCAGCGTATAGCAAGACGCAGGCAGGACACAAGCAGTCTCAAGGCTGCGCTGATCGGGAGTACGGCGTACTCGGTACAAATCAAGAAGCCCCGAGTAGAGCAACCGATGAATCTATAGCGCGAAGCCTCCGGCGCATGAGGAACCGCGTGCACAAGGAAGCAGCGCGCTTTGTCGAGTCTTGTACAGAGGATTCGGTGCGGGGACGCATTAGCGGCTTACCTTTGTCTTCGGCCGAAGCACGTGCCATTGCTCGTGCTAGCTTGGCCGCTTCTCGTGGCAGCGTGGCGCCAGTTGTCAGGAGCTCGCAAACTTCGTCGAAACAAGATGTGGAGGCTGAGAGCCGCCGGGTGCGCGACACGTGTTGCGGTCTCTCGCGCAGTAGTCAGATTAGGCGATTCTGAGTCTCATCTGACGTATATTATATGCCATTGTAAGTCCATACTACTTCTGGGATTGAACGTGAATTCAATTTGGTAGAACATGCAAAATGGCAATGGGAGTGGCAGGAGAATAAACGCTAAAACTGCTGAATACGCACTGAGCGTTTCTCTGTGCATATTACTTCTTAGGGCTGTAACATACATTGACCTGCGCGTTTGACTTTGAATGGCGTCTGGCGCAAGACACCACGAGAGCCTCTTGTTGAGTCTCGTGAGTTACTTCAGGTGATCGAAAGTTGATCTTTCCCTCAAAATAGGTCTTATCGTTTTGGGAGCTTGAATTGCGCAAGCGGAGAGTTGCTAACAACGTCGCATGTGTAACAAAGACAAATAGGTATGGTAGAAGATTCAGCTAGGCAAATAGTTTGCGTGTTTGATCTTGATTTCCATTCTTAATCTGATTAGCGGACATGACATGAATACTCGAGCAAAAACGAAAATATCAGGCTCATTGATTTTTGATGATAGATTTCCATTTCATTCAATATGAAACCGTGCAGGCAGATTATGGTTCGTGGTCTAGATCTGGTTCTCGACTGCCGAAGAAACCTAATGAGCACGTAGATACTTATGGAATGCGCTGATTAGGTGCAGTCGTGTGAGCGGAAACATCATATGGGAAAAGTCCAATTCAGTAGTATCTCCTTTGAAGGAATTTCGAAAGTATGAGCGCTCCTGCAACAAGCATTCCGCTGCTCCCGTACCAGCAGAAGATTGTAACACAGTTGTTAGAGCATGAGGAAAGCTGCTGCGTGATTGCGGGTCTGGGCCTCGGGCGGCTACGCATATTCGAATCTCTGTTGGAGCAAAAACTGAAAGCCTTTGATGCTGCACTGACTGCGCAAAGTTCTCCGAAACCGCTCGTTTTTGTCTTGAACCTCTCGCGCGAGGATGCGGAGGGGCTTCGTAGTCGGCTCACTGTGGGGCGCATGAGGAAAGACAACGTGCACGTCTTCTCTGCTGGAGACACCTCCGTGTCTGCGCGTGGTCCAGCCATGCGGGAGCAGTGCTACGCACGAGGAGGGATTTGCTTCGTCTCCATCCGCTTGCTTTTAGGCGACTTTCTACAGCGTCGTTTCGACGGACGTGCGGTCCAGACGCTGCTGGTCGATCGAGCAGAGGAGGTCTACGACGTGCTTCAGAAAGAAGCGTTCGTTGTGCAAGCGCTGCTACGAAAGGTAGCGCATCCAGATCGCGCGGTGCGCTTATTCACCGAAGATTTCGCCACTGCTGCGTCAAAGGGCCTCGAGAAGATCATGCGATGTGGTGGTTATTGTCGCAAGGCCTTTCTGTGGCCTCGCATTCAGCAAGACGTGTCGTTAGCACTCGCCACGCGCCAGGACGGCATAGTATTGGCATCGGAACGAAATGGTGCAACGCGTACACGACCCGCTGGCGTAGAAGGATGCAGAAATTCTCCAAGAAAGTCCCCTAAGCCTGAGAACGAGGCTCTATCGTGGGATAGCATTGCCTTAGTTGAGAAACGGGTACCGCTTCCGGATAGGATCGCAGCGCTGCAACAATCGCTGTTGGCTATCTGCGAAGATGAGGTTTGTAGGCGATTGTGCGCCTATCCTGACTGTCTGCGAGCTTTGGAAGCCGAATGGCGGGGCGCTGCGAATGGGGCAAAGATGATGGACCTTTCCTCATCATTCTCGTCGACCACGACGAGCAGTGGGCAAGGATGTTTGGCAACCGCGACTGGGTTTAAAAACGGGAATGGTCTGAATAAGAACTACAATTATGCCGGAAAAGGAGTGGGGACGAAAAAAGCGTATCCCAATCGACAGACGAAAGGAGGGAAGAATGCTGCCATACCAGCGGAATTGCTGAGCCACCTGTGCTCAGATGCGATTGCCGATCAAAACTTTGGCAGAAAACTGCGCTACCAGCTCGATACCTGTCTCGACGACGGCCAGGTTGCGCGATTGGTACGCGAGGCAGGCCAGTTTGCCACATTATTCGAACGATTGTTGAAGCTTGATTGTGCTGATTATTTTCGCTTTGTGGGTCTCTTTCTGGGCCAAAAGTCGGTTGCTAGGATGTGCGGTGGAATCGCCCAGGCGGAGGCAGACAAAATGGAAGAGCAAGCCGCTGCGGCTGCAGCAGCACTTGCAACACAAGCAGAAGAGCACAGGCTGAATCAAGTCGAGGCAGCTGTAGTTGAAGCAAGAGTAGACACAGATGTGGGTGTGGCGGATCTTGACGGTTCTAACAGAAAGGTCCCACAAAGTCCTGAAGGCGCGAGTAAGGACGCAGCCGTGGGTAATAAAAAGGGTAAGGCTAAAGCAAAGACGAAAGCGAAAGCGGCAAAAGCTAAAGCAGTGAAAGCGAAGGCTGCGACCGCTGCTTCGACTGCAAAATCGCTACTCGGTGCCTCTGGGCAACAAGAGGAAACTTTTTCATCCATGCCGACTTTCGCTGCAGGCTCAGAAGTCTCCTGGTTACAATCTGACGCTGGACGAGGATTCCTGCGTTTGGCTCGTGCCCGCGTTCTCGCACGGGAAAGAAATCCCAAGTGGGATACCGTGCTTGAGATCCTTACAGTGGAGGGCGTTCTTTCCACAGACGAGCATGATTTGGGAAAATCTTCTCCGAGAGAAAATACCCTGGACGAGGACCTGGGTCCGCCTAGTGGGTTGACCTCTCCACCTGCAAAGCGCAGAAAAGTTGAACGCGGCGAGTCCGCGAAGAATGTGAACAAGTCAAACATCAAGTTTGTAAAAAAAGCTGTTGTCGTTTGCGCGGACGATCGAGAAAAACAACAGTTACGCACGGTATTGGATGCAGGAACTGAAGCAGCCATTCGAGAGTCACTGCGCTTCCTCTCTCCCCCCAAGGAGGATGAAGCAATGACGCGTCTAGTTGTAGACGCTTCTTGCACGAAAGCAGGAGCAACATCATTACAAGAACACGCTTCCGAGTCCTTTTCCCCTGGTGCCGCTGCCCCCTCAACCTCAGGCTCCAATAAGCCTGTTGCAGTCGTGAACGTGGAAGTAGCTACAGCCAATGAAGTTGAGGCCAGTTTATACCAGTTCTTGCCGGATGTGATCATCGTGATGTCCCCTGACGTTCGCGTCATGCGTATTGTAGAGGTGTATGCAGCGAGCGTTCGCACAGTGCGCGCAAAAGGAGAGACGTTGTGGACAAAGGAAGACTTTTTACGCGAAAATGCGAAAATGAACGGAACCGCTGGAAAAATTAACGAAGATGTCGGGAACATCAGTAACGATACCGTTCTCACGTCGTCGAAGGCTGGAGATGTTGGCACTATGATGACGAAAGCCGTTCTGCCGTCGATGTTATATGCTCCGTCTCCGTCAGACACGAACGTCGATGGCACGAATCCCGAAATCGGTGAAGCCGAAGGAGTCATGGTTTCCGCAGACAAAACCATTTTGGTCCGCAACCACGGCTTTCAAGGGACTTCTTGGGAAAACAGCGGTATATCTGTGAGCCTGCGCTGTTTTCTGCTCTCTTTCCAGGACTCGATTGAAACTGCGAAGTATCAACAGACTTTGGCTGCGGAAACCAAGGGTGTGGAACTAGCGGTATTTCAAAAGAAGCGACTTGTGGTCGACCTCTCTACGGCAACTACGGAAACGCTGGCGCAGCGGCCCATTCTACAGATCGAGGACCTGGAGGAGGCCAAGCAGTCAACCCGTCTTGGCGGTGGTCGCCACCAGCGACAGAGTTCAGAGAGCTATGTCATCGTGGACGTGCGCGAATTGAATGCGCGCTTGCCTTTTTTCCTCTATCAGCGCCACACACTGCTGCCAGCCACGATCAAGATTGGGGATTACATACTGTCGCGCGACGTCTGTGTTGAGCGAAAGAGCGTGTATCCGGATTTGATCGAGAGCCTGAAAAGCGGTCGGCTACTGCAACAAGCTGAAAATCTAGTGCGCGCCTACAAAACGCCCATCCTTCTGCTTGAATTCGGTCCCAGTGTTGCAAGGAGGTTCCCGCAGTGGGCGCATTTGGCGGAATTTGGCGGAGGGACTGCGGGAGGAGGAGGAGGTTTTGCTTCTTCTGGAAGCAAGCAAGCGCAAATGAATGGCGCGGCACTCTTGCGTCAAAAATTGATTTTGTTGATGCTCCAGTTTCCGACCTTGCGCGTAATCTGGTCGCCGAGCTACGCATACACCGCAAGAATCTTCAAAGCTTTAAAAAAGAATAGACTCGAGCCCAATTTGCCTCGAGACGCGGCCGGACCCTCAAATGCATTTTTCATGCGCGCTCCTGGTCTGACAGCCGAAAACTTGAGACTTCGTGGCAATGGCGTGATGATGTCCGGTAGTACGTCGAACACTAACTTACACAGCTACCAAAATGTGCAGACGTCGTCGTCTGGAGACGCTACGTGCGAAGCAGATCAAGTTTTATCGGAAAACAGAGTAGCAAACCCGGCCGCGCTTGATGTTCTGCGGTCTCTGCCTGGAGTCACAGGTGCAAACCTTGCTCGGATTGCAGCGAGACTACCGAACCTTGCGGCAATCGCAAAAATGAGCAAAGAAGAGCTTAAGGGGCTCTTGCTGGACTCAGCGCAGGACCCTGACGGCTCTGTAGAGCGTACTTATCGAATCCTACATGGCAGGAGCACTAACTCAGCGCCTGAAGGTGGCACATAGCCAAATATTTTGACGATGTACTAGTTTGATTTTCTGAGGAATTCTTACTCTCTCCGTTGAACAACAAGCCGCGCTAGAAGTTAAGCTATTGATACTTCATACGTATCCGAGAAAGATGAATTTCAGGCTGTTTTATCTATAACTACCACGTTTTAGAACATCTCCTTGTCTCCATCGTGAGGAGCCTAGTCTCGCTTCCGACTAGTGACAAAGAATATGCTCTCTAGGGCCCTTAAAACTGAATAGAAATGATCAGTATGTTCTCAAAGCATGGATCATAAGAATGTTCATTCAACGAGAGACGGAAGAAGATGATGTGTTGGAAATCACAGAGGCTCCGCAAGTAGTTAGACAGACAAGAGAAAAATACTGTAAGTGGATTATACTGTAGAGACATGGAGCGAAAAAATTTCCAAAAGCAATTATCTTTCTTCGCAGGTTGTGTGATGTGATAGACCCCATCTAAGCTACCCCCGATACCGGGACCCTGTAGATTTTTTTTCTCCCATACAGTATTCAGCTTATGCAAGGTGCATGTTTCTATTCGTACATTAGATTTGTTTGAACTACAGTCGTAGTTTCCTGCTAGTTTCGCAGTACCAGAACTAGTTCGGGCTCGACGGTTCCTGAGCATTCATATGTGTGTATCCGCATCATGCACATGCACATGCAAGGACAGCACGTTGTGTCATCTACTTGGTTTTCTTTTGATGCCACGCGCAGAGGAATCCTTTTTCTCCGGTAGTTGTTCTGGTCTCGCTTCACAACATGGTACAGCGACGTTCCACCTCAAGTAGTGGTAGCCGTGCGGCGTCTCGGCACAAAGTTCTCGGCGCTGCTTGCCGACGTAGTGGAAGAAAAAGCGTCGACTCTCCGAGACTCGAGTTTTCGAGATTACTTGGTACGCATAGGCATACGGTAGTCCTCAGCGCTGTGCTCGCGCTAGGCGTGGCTTTCCTGTTATGTCTCTTGTGGTCTAGTTCACTACCACCATCAAGCGAACAGCATTTCGCTGTCGGTGCGCAGGCAACGTCGAGCCCCGCGAAAGCTACGTCAAGCGGGTCATTTCGTGCCGCAGCAAGGCCTATTGAGGACACGACGTGCGCGGTGGAGGTGGTCGATGAAGCCAATTCCAAGCAGCTTTCATTGATTCTGTCTGCGCTTACAGAGACGCTGTTTTTTCGCCTTTTCAAGGTGGACATGCACGCGAAATGCCAGTACGACTTCAAGAACAACAGGTGGATGGACGATGCGTTCCTTGAACAGAATGCGCTGTTTGGAGACTCGACGTCGTCGTCCTCAGTGAGCGAAAGAGAAGATACGAATTCTTCTTCCGCGTCCCCTTCTAGTACAACATCAATGACGTCGTCGTCGAACAGCGAGGAAGATGACTTGGACGATGAGGACGACGAGGTCGATTCTGCATCACCAGGGACGCCGTCCACAGTGAGTGAGGCGGCGAAGAAGGTCATAGCCGCCGTCTCGGGAAAGATCGGAGAAACGTCGAACAACAGCTCAAGTTCTTTGAAAATAGGACTTCCCGAGTCGGAGCACGAAGACAGTTTTCAATGTACAGGACCGCCAATGCTGGACAGCGCAGCACCAGAGGTGTCTCAGTTGATGAAGAAGCCGGGGAATCTGATGAGCACAGAGCGACCGCAGTCGGCCTGCACGGTTACCGGTGAAGCCGACGGCTTCCAGTTTGGCGGAAGCAAGGAAAACAAGCAGTTGGCGGCGTCGGGTGGCAGTCGCGTGGACCGTGCTAAAACCGAGGAGGAAGCTGAATTCAGCCGCATGGTCGCAGCGCGTAGTTGTGCAGAGGATGCGCCAGAGTTTTGGCTCGACATGTGCAGTATGGTCAGCACCCGCGGTCCCGACTTTATCAACCTCTTGAAAAATCCTGAAACCAACACGGGGTATCAGGGACGGCACATCTGGGAAGCCATGTACAGTGAGAACTGCTTTTCGCACCACATTTTGAAAGTGAACGGTCTAGAACAAGACGAGCAAAGGGCAGGCAGCATGAATGCCTTCACTCAGGTTAGAAGAGGACAACTAGAAGCGTCGAAGAAAGCCGCGACTTTGTCTTCAGGAGAAACCGCCGCGCCTCTGCGGGATTTGAACGATACTAGTGCCATCGATCGGCGGGAACACGAGACCGACGGAGAAGGCATGTGCTTCGAAGAGCGCGTGCTCTATCGACTACTGTCCGGAGTGCACAGCTGCACGTCCATCTCCATCTATTACAACTACTACCCGCCCTCCGCGCCACCGCTGGCTTCTGCGGGCTCATCGAGCGGTGCGGATGGGGCTGCACAGGCTGTTGCGCCTTTATGGGGAAAGAACCCGGAACGCTTTATGGAGGTGTTTGCGCGACATCCGGACCGTCTGAAAAACTTGTATTTTGCTTTCATTGTGCTCTTGCGCGCAACCAAGAAAGCCGGGAACTTCTTTGAGGCGTACAAGTACAACACGGGGGATGCGCAAGAGGATGCGAAGATTGCTACCCTAATGCGCCGCCTTCTAGACAGCGACAGCTTGGCGTTCTGCCACTCAGCGTTTGAGGGGTTCGATGAGAAATCGATGTTCCTGTCCAAAGAAGTCTCAAGGCGCGAGTTCAAACGAGGGTACCATGCAATAACAATTTTTTCCGACTAGTCGACTTCAACATGATCGCTGGACTTGCTTGTTTTTTGATTAACTACTCAACCACTCGCTTGTTTTTTGATTAACCACTCAACCACTCGATTCCTTTTTATCACTGTAAACTATATTTTCTTGTTCTTCGTCGATATCTACTTGCTCCAATAATGAATTAGAATTCATCTTTTCATCAACAGGTTCCAGCGTATATCCGCATTGATGTCGTGTGTGAAGTGCAGTCGATGCAAGTTGCATGGCAAGCTGCACATCCTAGGAATCGGAGCGGCCTTGAAGATTTTGCTTTTGACGGAGGACCTTCTGCCCACGTCCCTGTCGCGCGAGGAGATTGTGGCGCTGTTTAACACGCTGCATGCTTTTTCGCAGGCTCTCCAGCACGCGAACTCGCTGTTGCAACTCTATGTAAGAAAGCATTCACGCAGAAAGAAGGGACGTCGGAGTAGTGCGGCCTTGCCCGATGTCGATATGACCACGTTGGTTGAGGGAACCGACGACGAATTGGTGAAGACCATGGAACAGAGTGGTGATAGCCCTGAACCTTCTGCGGGAGAAAACGATGAGCGAGATGATGGCTCGCGTGGGAGCAGTCGTGGTAAGGACAGGGATTCTTCTAGAAATAATACTGACAGCAATGATGAAGAAGAAGAAAAAGGGCTAGGAGAAGTTCCTGGTAGCGACGACGATCGTCCGTGGCCAGACCAATTGACAGAAACGCTAGCGAGGCTTCGAACGCTTTTGCAGACGGTAAAGGACGAGGCCTCGTCGGAGGATGTTGCTATCCTGCGTGGCGCGCAGGAAGAGATGGCGCGGGCGGTTGCGGTAACCGCGGCAGCCCATGCATCTTCCTCGCCAAAGAGTGCGTTGAAAACAGTAACGTCTGCTGCTTCACCTGAGGAACTGACGCTTACGGCTGATGCGGTTGTTGTCGGCTCTGGGTTGGCCGGCATGTCCGCAGCTCTGTCGGCCTTGCAGCGGGGAGCGAGTGTTGTTATGCTGGAAAAAGAGCCACGGCTTGGTGGGAATAGCGGAAAAGCAAGCTCTGGGATCAATGGTGAGCTGTGGGAAGAGCGTTTGAATGCTGAGGCAATGAACGTCGATGAAAACGTTGCACTGCGGTCTTTCTTCCACGATACCATGAAGTCGGGGGCCGGTCGCGCCGTCCCATCGCGCGTTCGAACCTTGGTAGAGCAGTCCGATGATGCACTCAAGTGGTTACAGGGCCAGGGCGTGGACCTCGGGCTCAAGGCGGTTCTCGGCGGACATTCTGCGCCGCGTACGTACCGGCCGAGCACGGGCAATTTCATTGGCACGGAGGTCATTCTCGTACTCGAACGGCGTCTGCGCGAGTTTGAAGCACAAGGGAAGCTCACAATCTTGAGCAATTTGAAGGTAGAAGGATTGCTCACAGAGCTTTCTAGTAGTGGAGCAAGTAACGCTCACACATTAGAAGAGAAAACAGTATCTTCTAGAAGTACGATCGCAGGAACCTCTGGTGCGTCTGCGGACAACTACAAGTCCAAAATGCCACCACGTGTTCTTGGCGTGCATGGACAGTTTGCTACAGGCGAAGCGGCGGCTTCAAAGAAGATTCGGGTGTTTGGACGTGACGGAATCGTTCTCGCCACGGGTGGTTTCGGTCACGACCACTCGCAGGCAGGAAGTCTTCTGTATGAGCACAGGCCAGATTTGCGTCAGTTTCCGACGACACTGGGGAAATGGACCACTGGCGATGGAATCCGCATGGTCCTTTCCTTTCCCGGCACGCGACTAGTCGACATGCGCTATGTGCAAGTACACCCAACAGGTTTTGTGGATCCCCGTGAGCCGCTGGCAGGAACAAAAACTCTGGCTGCGGAGGTTCTGAGAGGTGTCGGTGGGATTTTGCTTTCGGAAACTACAGGAGAGCGCTTCTGCGACGAACTAGGAACGAGACAGTACGTCGTGGACAGAATGCTGGAGGCACAAGGACAAGCAAAGGAAGCATCAAAACCTTCTTCAGCTTCATCAAAGAAAGAGAAGCAGTCTTCTACTTCTTCATCTGCAGTAGAGTCGAAGAGTGGTTCTGTGCGTCCCTTTTTCATTCTCCTAGGTGCTGACGCGCAAGAAGCTGCGAGCCGGCACATTCAGCATTACACGCACAAGGGCCTTTTGCACTACTTCGACTTGACGCCTCCCAGTGGGACATCAAACAGTGAGGAGGCAAACGAGGCAGTTGCGAAAGCTCTCGGAGAGAAGAGCGCGAAGAAAATGCGAGAAAAGCTGCTGCATGGTGTCTCCATATATGCGACGGCGGCGGAGAAAGGAGTGCCAGACGCATTCGGAAAGCAGAAATTCTTGAACATCCCGAAAACGACAGATCGAATAGTAGTAGGAAAAATAGTTCCAGTAGTTCACTACACTATGGGTGGTGTCGAAGTGGACGATTTGCACAGAGTGGTAACGCACACTGCAGTAGAAGCAGCAACAACTTCCTCGCCGACGAAAAGCAAAGCAGTAAGGGAGAACGCCAATGCTGCGGGGAATGAAGAAACCTCGGCACCAGTTGGCGATTACCTTCCAGATGAGCGCCTACCGGAAGATGTAGGAGAAGCTGACACACCGAGGATAGTTGTCCCCGGACTCTATGCTGTCGGAGAAATCGCAGGCGGCCTCCACGGAAAAAACCGACTAGGCGGCAACTCACTTCTGGAGTGCCTCGTTTTTGGTCGTCTAGTTGGTCAACGCATCGGTGATGCTGTGGCGAAGCGGCAATCACTAGCACGTAATTTCGATCAGATGCTTGACGCAAGACTGGCTAGTATCGCAGCAACGCAGAAGGGAACCGGTGGCAGAGAACCGCGGTCACTGAAGAGGAGGAAACAAGCTCCTAAGGACAAGCCTTTGAGGGAGATCGACGAGTCAGAGCTGCAGCTGCATAACAACACCTCAGATTGTTGGGTGCAGCTCTACGACGAGGTATATGATCTCACAGTATATGCCCGTATCCATCCCGGCGGCGAGGCGTCGATATTCGAGCTATGCGGTCAGGATGGAACGGCGGCATTCGAAGCAATCCACGCCCGATCGATGTTGAAAGATGGTGGTTTTAAAGCCTTGGGAAAAATCGCTCAACAAGGGAGCGCACCGTCTTCATCGGACTATAAAACTACCAGCAAGGTGGAACAGACTTCGACGACCTCCTCCTTTTCGACCGCAACACAACAGGGCTCATCCTCGACGACAAAACGTCCCACTAGCATGTCCCCAACACGCAAAGCGGCGGCGAGCAGACAAAAGGATGAACTTTGATCATTTTTGTCTCCCTTTTGGACCGACATTATTGTTGAAACACAAACTGCAGATGTTGTAACATACGTCAGCAGAAAAACCTTTATTCCTCGCCCCCATCGATACCATATCCGCCCTGATGTTTGTCGAACGTTGATAAGTTTTCATCTCAACAAAGAGATGTGTGCTGAGGATGCTGTTCCGGCGAAAGTGCCAGCATTGTTATCTGATGTTCGCAAATGTTGTCGTGTGCTTATCTGTTGATAAAGGAACAATCATAACACTCGCTGCTAATTTTACATCGGTTGTTTTCCCACTACTTTATACTGGTAATTGTAACGTGGGGACGAGTACCACAGCAGCCGATCTGAAAAGCAAGAATTCCTTCTAGTAAAGGCCAACGCCACAAGTGGATCGCATGGATCAATTTCGAATTGGATGTGCAGGAGGATCAGCATAGAGCCAACACATATTCTGTCTTTATCATGTCATGTCTTACTCGTTTTAGAGAGAATTTGGAGAGATGGTCGTCGCGAGTTTTAAAGCGAAAAGTGCGTTAGAGGCTGTGACACTATGCAGCTGAAAAAGATATTATTTATCAGGACAAAGTGGTCGCACCTGGCTTAGCCCGAGGTGGACTAGTTCTGCCCCAGAACATTGACCATGACCACCATCCATGACCATTGATTTTGGAGGAAAGAAGATGAAGAGCTGAAAGATTCCTTGCAAATCTTCTTGCATTCCTCGTTTGCGACGTGTGTGGTATCATGGAGCGTGCTGGTTCTGACCACCTTTCTCGAGGCGAGGTGCGTTATGGTGGTGGACTCCTGCCGCTTCCGGAATCCCCTCGCATATTTCTCGACCCCAAAAGCGGGAGTGGGTACGGTGGCAGCGGACTCCACGGAGGGAGTGCGTCCAACCGTCTTCTTTCGGGCTCAGCTAGCGGACGGTCACTGCCACCGCGAGACCTAGGCCCCTACAGCGAAGTGGCCAGTCCGACGGACCGGGTCGTGGTCGCTCACGGGCAGCAAGGAGGTCCACTGATGGCATCCCGCAGCAAGACGAGCACTACATCGTCGTTGGCGGTGGAGCCGCGCGGCCGCAAGCACGAGCCGCGACTTTTAGGGTCGTCAAGGACGCTGCCTTCGCATCCGCTGCACGACCATCAAGTGGGCCGTGGCCGTGGTGGAACCACTGTGGGTGGTGGTGGACGAGTTGTGAGTAAAGGAAGTCAGAATGCCGCTGAATACATCGACTCGTCGCCTGAGATGTTGGAGATCGTGAATTCGCCTAGTGCAACAGTGGTGCACCCGCGTCAACGCATGCCTGCTTCAGATCTGCGTTTAGAGGGCAACGCCGATCAACAGCACAGAGCAGAGCTGCGGCATTCTGAGCGACGTCGACGAAGACGCGAAGATAAGCAAACGAGTCGCCATATTCCGCTTGCACGACACGACAGCGCGGTGGCGCACAGTGAGACCGTCGGTTCCTCGAGTTTGGGGCGGTTTCGAGAAGACATCGACGAGGGAAGTAGCCACTCGATAAGGACGCGTGGCGGGGGAGAGCCAAAGAGTAGTTCGCGTACAGTAGAGGGAGCGAGTCGAGGCGGGCCTCGCAAGCACAGAGGGGAAAATATAATGGGTGACCACGGAAAAAGCTCCGCGTCGCACCATTTCGACACCCCGAGTTCATCCGCAGCTTCAGTGTCGATGCTGATGCCACCGGGCGCGAGTGGAGCGATTCCGGTCCTGGTCTCGTCGTATCCGGGGGGCGCGGCAGGAGAAGCGCCGATGCACCTATCGCATCATACAGCTGCTTCTCTTTATCACGGCGGTAGAGCAACCACTATGTTGCCCGCACCGGCAGGCATGCCGCCTCCGCCCGCCATGCTGGGCGGAATGCCTCCTGGAGCGGCGCTTGTGCATCCTGCTTCGCAACCGCATAGCGTGATGCAGCCACCACCGCACACACCGTTCTACTTTTGGACTGGGGGTCCCGTTCCGCCCCACAGCGTTCCTGGGGTGTCCATGCCGCACGCGCACTCATCCGGGGCTTATTTTTCCGCACCGCCTCCGTCAATGTTATGTTGACAGGAAAAATATACTCATCCTCACGAAATTAGGGGCATTCAAAGCAGTGCATCGAGTGTAATTCCACTTTTTCCCTTCATATATGTTGATGAGCTACTATTCTGCTGCTCCGCCTCCTGCTGTTGTGTCAGCCGCACAGTCTGATGTGCGCGGCAACGAGAACCGCCGTGAGCGCCGCGTTGTAGCAGAATCTGGGCGACGGCGAGGAGCAAGCGGCAATCGAGAGACCGCACGCAGCTACCGTCAGGACCGGCCGCACAGGCAAACGTCAGCAGAGTCGCAGGACGTACTAGAGGCACAAGGGTACAGCGATGCACCATCGGACACGGAGGAGCGCAACAAGTTTCGGCAAGTAAGACAGCCGTTGAGTTGTCAGCAATCCGCGCCGCGCGATGACGACATCACAAGTGTGACATCACAAGTACGACGCGAAGACGCATGTTCTTCACCGCTGCCACCTCGTCGAGTCATACCTCCATTGCAGTACTCTCCAGAAAAAATAGCCGACAGCGTGATGGAAGAAGAAGGGGGTGTGAGGAACAACAACAGTGTCCTAGAACACCCTTCACCATCGCCTGACCACTTGTTGAGCAATCTGAACTTAGTAAGCAGTTATCCCGCAGTGGAGTATCGTGCTCCGCAGGAGCGAACCGCAAACCCTGAGACGTGCGGCGCTGGCGCTGGAGCGCGAGGTGGAAGGGCTCACCTAATTTATCAGCAAGGTATATCTTCGACAGCTAACAAGAATGTTCCTCCTGTAGTTGTTGAAGAGAAAACGAGGGGGAGTGTGACAAGATCAGAATCATGGACCCATCACCCATTCGCCGGTGATCGAATTGGCGCATGCGAAGAAGAATCAGAGGCGGGCTCGGACGCGCCACGCCGCGTTTCTTATGGAAGCGAGCCTCAGGATTCTGGAGAGCAGGCTATTTCTCTAGACCCAGGAGAGGATCGAAAAAGTTGCGATGATACCACCGGAAAAAAGGATTTCCCTCCACCTCGAAACGTCTCCTTCGAACGAGGCGCTCACTCAGTTCCGCAGAATGAAAACGCTGGCATCTCCTCAAAAAGAAGAAGCCCTTCGTTGGAAAGAAGCGCGTCGTTTCTGGGGCGGACCACCAGTGCGGAAGAGAGACGAAGCAGTGGTGGGAGCTCGCCAGAAGAGGCAGAAGGAGGCGGGCGTCCCAGTTCACCGCCAAAGTTCGTGATTCGGCGACCAAATAAGACTCGGTCGGGTGTTATGAAGGTGCACAATTTTCCTCGCAGTTTCGGGAGCAAACTGGGCAGTATTGCGGAGTTCGAGGCAGCATCTTTGGATTCCGAAGATCTCAGCCACGGAGAGCAGGCATTGGCACCGACAACGAACCCGTCAAGATTAAGAAGTTCCGCTCTAGACAAAAAAGAAACAACTCCTGGTGCTTCATTGGCGGACGAACAGCACCAAATGAAAGCTAAACGCAGGGTTGGAGATTATGGGCAAGGGCGTTCCCCTAGCGGTCGTGTGTTCAGTTCAGCGATTGAAAAAGGAAATGCGAGGGGGCAAGGAAGTTTTATCGACAAAAGTACGGTTGCAAAGCACCGCGATACGAGACGAAAAAAAGCAAAGGATGCTGGGCATAGTGTGTCTTCCTCAAGCTGTTCGCGCATGAGCGCATCGAGGCATCGAAAAACGACAGGAAAAGAGATGGACGAAGCGCACGGACGCACTAAAAATGAGGCTCCGCGACGAGGCCAGAAGAACAGCGCTAAGGTTAAGTCATCACAAGTACATCAAGTAGAAGCTCAAACACCGCTGCTGCCATCTCAAATTTTGCGGCGACAGCGTCACGAGGAGCTCTCCCAGGCGCTCGAAACAGCAATTCGCGCCACACCCGAGTTGCCAGAACAGGCGACCCCATGCTGGCGGAGCTTTTTCGTTCTCACTGTGCTGTCTCTCTGGCTTGGCGGAGCGGTCTTGCAGTGGGAGCGACCGGCGTCAGCCTACATGCCAAAGCCACTCTCCGCTAGTCAGGCCGCATCTGCGCGAACAATAGAGGGAGGCGAGGACAGTCAGAGCGCCGCCGGCGTCAGTGGAGAAGCGATAAAGCCCTATGACAAAGGTACGGGCGAAGGCAGTGGACCGGGGCCGCCGAGACGCCTGATGCGCATGGTGAGCACCGCCACCAATGCGACCGGCGACGCACTACCTGCAAGATGGGGAGCAGAGGCTAGTACGGACCCAGGTGCAAGGCGAGCACCTCCTCTCAATAGCGGCAGTGCTGGAAAGCCAGATGGGGGAGGTGGAGGTTTCCCTGACATGGCTGGAGGAGTCGTAGACCTTTTCTTCCGCGCAGGTGGCGGAGTATCAAACCCTTTTGACCTTTTGCAGTCTAGTGCTGCAGAAACCCTTTTTCGCGAGGTCGGCGCACTGATTGGGCTCTGCTTGCTTTTCATGTGCGCTGTGTTCTCTGGTTGTGCAGGCAGCTGGCTGTTAGAAGTTTTGGCTGGAATAGAATGCGAATCCTTGATGTCTGGGCCGTCGGCGGACGAGGCTAGGCGCAGTCGTGCTTCGCTGCAATCCGAGACTATGACGCAAAGCAAGTCTTTGCAGAGCTTAAGCCGGAGGGTGTCTTTGGCGCCCCTTGGCTCCTCAGAAACGCGCGTCATTGGAAACCCCCAGAAGCGGTCGTCGCTGCAGTTCGGCAGGGGGTCCACAATTGCAGGTGACGCAACACCGGTGGGGCGCATGTCAGCATTTCGAGGGCGGTCATCTGCCATTGCCGGTCGTTCTGCCCAAGAGCCGCTGCTCGGTCGCAAGAGCAGACGCGAAAGCGTCCGAGAGGCGCCCTCGGTGTGTGCAAGATTGAAGCGATACCTTTCGCACATTCTAGACCGCATGAAGAGCTGGACAAATGGCCTAAATAGATGGTGCACGCTGCACTACAGTAAGTGGAGTCAGCGCTCCCTTCGACTCATGCACTTCTATCGGTATCTCATTCTCTGGCTGCTGGTTTTTTTTTCTCTAGGTCGCGTCTTAGCAGATCTTGTGCAGGCGAGCGGCACGTTTCTGGCCACGGTGCCGGGTATGACCTTGTTCCTATTTCCGTCGTCCAGATCTGGAACGGG